TTCTTGCAGTAGTTCTGGACTATTTTCTGTTTCATTTCCAAAGTAATTCTTATTCATCTTTTCGTAATTTATATATTTTTATGTTTTAAAAATGTACACCATCCGTAAGTTCATTGTGAAGTGAATTAAGACGAGGTAACTCGATAGAAAATGCACTCTTTTTTTTAGCTCGACTTTTCTATGAAAAGGGGAGCTATCCTACTCGCCCCGGCGTCGGCGTCGGCGTTAGCGTTAGCGTTGGCGTCACACCTTGGTTAAGTTTTTCGTACCACCCCACTTTATTTCAGAAGTATTACAAGTATGGCTTTGAAACTTACCATACTTGTTCACCATCATAACCTCCATCTACAGACAAGAGTACATAACTCTGTCAAGGTTTTTGACAGAATTATGGCCCTTTTTTGACTTAGAAAGTGTATTGAGCTTGGTTAAGTTTTTTGTACCACCTCACTTTATTTCAAAACCATTGGAGGTATTGCTTTGAAACTGACCATACTTGTTTACCATCACGACCTTCATCAACAGACAAGAGGACATAACTCTGTCAAGGTTTTTGACAGAATTATGCCCTTTTTTGACTTAGAAAATACATTGAATATGGGTAAAATCCACTTATTGCCTTAACCCTTTGAGATATTGCTTTGAAACTTTTAATGCTATTTCACATCATTACCCCCATCTGTACGCAAGAGAAGGTAACTCTGTCAGGGATTTGTTTTAAAAAATTAAGGCCTTTTATCGACTTAGAATCTTGGTTAAGTTTTTTGTACCAGTCAACTTTTTGACTGAACTGGTTGAGATATTAAATTGAAAGTTGGAATACTTGTTTACCATCATGGTCCCAAACATGGGCAGGAGAAGGTAATTCTGTTAAGGATTTTATTTGAATTTATGGCCCTTTTTGACTTAGAAACTCAGTTAAAATTTTCATTCTTGTCCACTTGTTGACCTAACCATTTGAGATATTACTTTGGAAGTTGAAGTTCTTATGTGCCATCATGAGACCTATCTGTAAGCAAGAGAAGATAACTCTGTGAAAATGTTTCTTGATTTGTACTTAGAAATTCCTAGTTAAAGTCTTGTGTGCCCTTAACTGTCAAAGTTTTGTTTTATAGGCAAGCACTAAAAAAGTCGAGCGCGCTGTCCTTCTGACAGCTCTTGTCTTTAAACCTGGTTAATTTCTCTAAATAGACTTGTCCAACTTCCATTATTTGGAACTGTTCATTATCAATTTTGGGGATATTAAGATGAAAATCGCCACCAGTATGAACCCACTTTGCAGGCCAGCCAGTTAAATGTATTAATATATTTCGATATTAAAATCCCTTAAAATTTAAATGGAATGTTACCAAAGCATAGCAGATCCACTACACAAATTCAGCAGGTTAAGGGTGAAAATACAAGCAAAATACAATATTGCTCTTCATAGTCTCCTCATGTTTAATGCTAAGAAATTCACATACTTATTCATTTAAAGTAACAGCCTTACAGGGGACATAATCATGTGATCTTTAGTCAAGAGAATTTGCTTAAAGCATTCATATTTAATAGAATGGATATATAATTATTTTTTTTGACTGGAAAATTGAGATAAGATTAATAAATTTCATTGGTGTGAAATGCTATTAAAATTTCAAAGATATATATTGTAAATGAAAAATTGAAATAGGAGAATAAAGGAGTAAAGTTAGGAATTTGAGGTTTCTCAAACCGTGAATTTACTTAATTTCGTGGGCATGAAATTTCGTGGATTTGTCATAATGAAACATTTTTGTGGGTTCTTAAATTCGTGAACTGTTATAATTTTAAAATGTGAATAATGTGATGCAGATTAATTTTAGAGCAGATGAAATGAAATTTCGTTGCATCTCAGATTTGTGGATTTACCTATCCATGTGAATTGACCTATCCACGAAAACCACGAAAATTATTGTCCCACGAATAATAATGATTTTGCAGTATATGACTTATGTATTGCTCATCTATTATCACTTCTGTCACAAATTTAATTACTTTTGGTAAAAGGTTATTATTTGATTTAGTTAGTTATTTTAATTTCTAAAAAGTAGGTGTAGAATTTCCTGATATTTAAGGGTAGTGGTGGCCTAGTGGTTAAAGTGTCTGTTTCTCATTCTCAACCCATGGATCATGGGTTCAAGCCTTAATCAGGTCATGACCATGGCTCTTCATACAACACCAGTACTGGTTGGTTCCAGGAAACAGACTTGAAAGTGATCAATATACATTGCAAGAACTTTATTCTCTTAATCGAGCTGAAATATATATATTTAAACCTAACCTGATATTTACAGAAATTAATGATAAGATCTACAGACCTACAGACTTTATTTAAATTTTTAGATTATTTACAGGGTTACAGTAGAATCTATGTCAATTGTGAAACTCTTATTGGAAAATACAAATAATTATAAACAAACAACAAAACCAAAAAAAAAAAAAAAAAGAAAGAAATTAGTCCAAAAATCTTAAGCTATGATTAAAAGTTTTATTCCAATTTGAGTCAATTTCATACCCATGTCTGTAATTTATGGATTGAAAAAAATCTTTCAATTTTTTCAGAGACTGTCCACAAATAAACACTTGTTTAAATATGAGGAAATCTAACACCTATTGAAAATGACATTACAATGTTTGATGATTATTGTCAGATTATTGTCAGATAATTGAAACATTGTTACAAGTTAATTCATTATTGAATGTATTCTTGTCATTATTTTTTTTTTATTTTTTTTTTTTTTTTGATTTTTTTTTTAGTTAAGTATAATCATTGTTATAATGAAAGAATTAAATTCAGCGGTTGGAAAATGAAATATTATATATATCTCATAAAAAAGAAAGAAAACTAAGTTATGTGTTGGTTATTATTTTGATCTTCCATTTCAAGTCCATATTATAAAAAATTGTAAAGTGGTCATAGATGCATTTGCTAGATTATTTGATAACTGAGCGTTATGAGATACATGTTATTAACTTAGGCAGACAAGTAAGTATTGTCAATATTGTCAGACAAGTCAGCATTGTGACATAATTGTCAGAGAAGTCAGCATTGTGTCAGTATTGTTAGACAAGTAAGTATTGTCAGAAAAGTCAGCATTGTGACATAATTGTCAGACAAGTCAGCATTGTGACATAATTGTCAGAAAAGTCAGCATTGTGACATAATTGTCAGAAAAGTCAGCATTGTGACATAATTGTCAGACAAGTCAGCATTGTGTCAGTATTGTCAGACAAGTCAGCATTGTGTCAGTATTGTCAGACAAGTCAGTATTGTGTCAGTATTGTCAGACAAGTCAGCATTGTGTCATAATTGTCAGACAAGTCAGCATTGTGTCAGTATTGTCAGACAAGTCAGCATTGTGTCAGTATTGTCCGACAAGTAATTATACCAGTAGGTTTCATTTCATTTCTTATAAGTTGGGATTTAATATCGCGCAAAGACTGTTTATATTGTTAAAGTATTAATACGTCATCGCGCACCTGCCAAATGCTCCAAATCGGACTTTTTTATCGACTCGAAGATATATATAAAAAATTATTCTACTTATTCTTATGTAAGGCACTAAAGATATGTGGAGTTTTGACTCTTATCCACTCGATCCAATTGGAACATTTCGGCTTATCCGAAGTTTGATGGAAAGGACCGAGACTATAATAATTGCAAAGCTATCCAACTTGCTTAAGAATGACGGTGGTTTTATCTTTGTCCCCGCTCTTGCCTGAATTATTGAGAACTTGCCCTATTTGTATCTTTCGTGCCAGTGAGACTTACAGTCAAACACCAAAAGAGATCGATACATGTGTAAAACATTAGTATTGTAGTTATTTAGGGTAACCTCTTCAGAGCGACCCTCTTTAAAGCAATAACCTTATAGAACTGTTCCAGTTATTCCAAGACTACACAATTGATGTATCATCTCCAGAGCAACATCTCTCAGTAAAAATTAAGCAAACCATTTGTGTCCCAGAGGTTGTTGCTTTATGGAGGTTGTACTGTATTACAATAGTTAAGTATTCCTCGAATCTACATACGTTTGTTCTAGCATATCTTGTTGTTTTAAGACTTGACAACCTCGGTGTTAGAACATAGCACATCATTTGAAGAAGCCGAGTTATATATGTTATAAAGTAAGACACCTTGTTAAAGTTTAACCTTGTTAAAGGTACAATATGCCTCAAAAATCTATATCTTTTAGAATTCTTTAGAAATGTCAAACCTGTTTAATAATGGATTTAGAGCATGTTTACAGTTAGATGTTAAACAAATGAAGAAAGTAACGCCGCTGATCATGCAGACATGTGTCATAATGGTGGCAAAATGTAATCAAAGTAGTATTATGACTTCCACACAAAATACTACAATGTTATTCACTTTAATTATACCAACAGCCAATAGAGCAAAAGGGCTATAGATAGTTTATCTATATGGCAAATGATGACTTGATGACCTTTTTCTTCTTTTTTTTTCTTGAAACTGTAACAAGATATCAAAAAGAAAATGTTTTTGAGAAATGAAAACGGATTTCCAGAGACACTAAAATAGCCATGAGTGAAATATGATAATTTTTATACCACGAGATGAAAATAAATCCTGTATTTATACAAAAAAACCTTGCATTTTCTGTTTTATTATATACCCTTTTCTATCATTTTGACATTACATTTTGAAAGACTTCCCCTTAAATTTTCTGTATTGGCTGAATTTAGAAGAAAGTAGTCCGGCAAGCAAATACGAAAATATGTTTCACAGCAGTGAAAACATTTTACTTTTTGTAAATGCGGAAAATGAAAATATTCATTTATCAATATTTCTCTAAGTACAAATGTATATAAGAAATGTATTTTAAATAATATATGTCATATGTTACGGTTCAGATCGGAATATCCGTCCCGAGGGGACCCGCCCATTGGGCTCACGGAACCGCCAGTCTGCTGTGCAAGAAATATGTCTCTGGGATTTCGTAATAAAGAAATACGCAGTATTACTGATAAAACATTGTTGCATATACATTGTTTACTCTTTGGTGGATTTGATATATACGGTAGATTGTGCTAAACAAAATATACAATACACTGATATATTCAAATATGAAATAATACTGGGTGAATAATGAGTATAAACAAATGCACAACCATCACAACAACATAAATGCATAACTGGTGTGGTATATAACAAAGTAAAACTTTAACAATTCCGCGTATTACAGAACTGTCTAAATTCGAACAATTTAAAACTGTGTCAAAACAAGGAGACTCAAAATCCACCCAAAATCTCTGGTCAGAACTATCCCTGTCTATGTGTATTTGACGTTGCGTCAATTTGGCTAACTGTGTAACTTAAATTGATGCGATAAACACGTATAAATTATATATCCAAAAAGCACTTTATTCATCTGCATATGTTTTTCTGGGTGTATATTTAGATTTTGATTTTGTCTTCATTTGACTGGGTATTATCTCGGGAAAGTGATTGGACCCTTGAGGAGCCGAGCCGTGAATTAGCCACGTCATTACGTAGTCTTTAGATGACATGTTTTTCGGTAACGCCGGCGCTTTTGACGTCGGAAACTGTTCTGGTATTCGCACATTTATGTCCATGCGGTTACGTGCCGTATTATTTTGACTAGGACTATTTTGTTGAATTGATATACATTTGATAGGATGCGTTTCACGGTTTTTTCTGTAGGATTTTGTTTCTTTAAAGTTACCAATAAAACTGTCAGCTGTCTCCTCGATTCCGCCTCGCGGTGTGTTTTGTTTAACGTGTATTGGACACGGAGCTGCACGTATTTCCGGTAAAACTGGCGCGTGCGTTACGTGCATTGTGTTCGCACGTGCAACAGTTTCTATGATTTTGTCTGGGAATTCTCCATCCTCGTCACCTGACTCCATACCCCTGAAATGACACAAAATAAACTCGATAAAATCCTTCAAAAAAGTATTGCAGATGTCCCCCCTCTCTTGAAGGCCTAAAAGAGTTTATCCCGCCGTAAATAACTTTCTATTGACAAGTAAATCGTGCAAATGACCATAAGTTCCTACATCTTATTTAATTTATTTTAAAAAACAAAAGAAAGAAAGAAAGAAAGAAAGAAAGAAAGAAAGAAAGAAAGAAAGAAAGAAAGAAAGAAAGAAAGAAAGAAAAAACTCAACCGCAACAATATTTTTGCTTGTGGATTTGGCATTGTTTTGTAACATCCATGGAAATCATTCGTCTATTCATTATAAAAGTTTTACCATGCTGCCATAAAAATGTTACCAAGAGTATGATTTTAAAGATAATCAAAAAATGTGCTCAAATTCCATTGCGTTTGAATACATACATATATGTATCATTAAAATGTATTATGTCACTGACAAGAAATCACTGTCTCTACCTAATGGTTGATTTTGCGTCGTCTTCAACGTATGGTACAGCCGACAGCATGCACAATGACCACCGGCGCCGGCGATTCATGTTTTACATAACACCCTCCAATTAATGTTTATACATGCATTACACTTCCTAAATAGTGCTCTTTTTCGCTTATTTATTTATTGTTTATTCAATATATTTGTAGCACGTGTGTGAATTATTACTTATATCAAAACCATTTATACCACTAAATCTTTTTCGCGCCACTTTAACAATATGAGGACTTAGTGCAAAATCTTATTTATAAAACACAAACTCTCAAAGGCATTTTGATAGATAAAAAAAATCCATATTCCTTTTTACATTATCATAAAATGCAAACTAGTTCTAACTTATATCCTCTCTCATACACGAGCTGCCAATCTTATACCAGCTAGAGAACGGATTCTCCAATTTATCTAATATACAGGTGATATAATTTATCTATCGCATTTTTCATGACGATGACTCTGGAATACATTAAAATTGATTCAAAAACATCGTCTCTGAAACTTTAATCCGTTAACACTCAATTGATACAAGTTTGGCTTGAAAAGAATTTGGATAAATACAGATAAAGAGTTGTTAGATCTTCTTACATATATTCCAATAGTTTCATACTTGTACCCCTTTCTCTTTAAAGGGTGTCGTCTTTAAACTGATAAATTACCTCACTGTTTCACGAGAGAATAAAAGTAACAAGATATAATCGAATTATAGGAGTCAATATTTGATATATTGCCCCTCATAAAACCTCGTGACACTTTGCGTGAACGATGCAATAAATCCATTTGCTTTAAAAATAAACCCACGAACGTAAATGTTCTGAAAGAATCTATTTAGGGGGTATCTTCGTTTTTTTACTTTTTACGTAACAAAAAAGTAACAATAGCAAAATAAACACGCTTAACATAAATCTTGATACTTTTTTTAAAGGAACAATACCTAATAAATACCTTCCCCATGCGTTTTCATACTTATATAAAATATGAAAAGAAACAATAACTAAGTAAATAAACTAAACATGCATATTTATTATAGTTCAATATGTCATCAATCGAAAAAGTTACTGATTGATAAGAGAAAAAAAAGTGTATATACATTTTAAACATTTAAAGAAAGATATACATTTATTTAATTTTTAATTTTCATATCTTAATTGAAATGTTTTGTATTTTCTTACTGAACCAAGTAAACAAGTGACTTCTATACAAATTTAATAACAAATGTACACAAGTTTGATTTGCCAGTCAAAAATATGTATACAAATAAAGAAAACTTTGGTCTTTAATTTAAATGTGGGTCTGTTAATAAAATGTGTACGTGTCTTTGCGACACCTAACCGATTATATTACGCCCTTCTCCGGAGTCTGACGGAAAGGACCGAACAGTTAAAGTTTCACCAAAACCGCCATATAAATCTTTTTACAATATTTGTTTTTATCATGAATAAATACCGAACAAGACCTTGGTAAAAATCAAACGTATTTCAGTCGTAATTAGCTATATCTGTTCAAAGTCTGTAGAAAAATAATCCTTGCTACCTATAGCGCCAAAACAACTAAATCTAGTTTTTTCTCTAGCTTATTTTTAACAAGGACGTAGTTAAGTAAAATAGCACTGCTAAGATAAATAAAATAAATCTATGTCAAATATGACATATTTTCTCCTGGGTATATTTTGTCGCGCCATTTACAGAAACACTCCTAGTTCTTTTAGTACACTATCTTTACAGAACCTGCCTCTTGCAAACTAGCTGGCTCCCTTTCACGCTAAAAAGGGAGAAATTATCAACGTAAAGAGAATGATTCGCACCCATCAGAAATATATGTATATATAACTACAAGTAACCTAATTTCGAATCTTATGTTTGACAAAAATCAAAATATATTTTTTGTGGTGAAGAGTAAGTTAACGTCTGCGAGGATACTCTTTTTTGAAGCGTTAATCCTGCATTGCATTATGCAAGGTTCTTGCAATATTAATCTCTACAAATTCGTAAAGTTTTAACTTAGCTTTTGGAAAGAAAATTGAAACTCATTCTCTTGGCTAAAGTACTGTTTGAAGCTTTACAATTCATTAATTTCTGTCCGTGACTGTATACTAGTATTTGATGTACATGTATATTTGAGCTTAAATTATACGGATTTATTTTAGTTCGATTGTGTTTGAAGCTATAAGCTTATTGAAATACTCCAGGTCCATTTCTGGAACGAACCAAAACTATGCAATGAGTGTAAAGTTTAAATTCTTGCTCACGGAAATAACGGCTTGCCTGCCCATGACGGGATTTTATCTAAAGCGGCCAGCGATCCTTAGATTGCCAGTCTGCAGACGCGTTAACCACTCGGCCACGCCGTCACACACCAACTTTTAGCTGATGTGATTTAAGTCTAAAAAACACCAAATAATCAATTACTGCACGTGACATTAAATGTTAATTTAGAAGGTCCAAAAACCTAAAAAAACAACATAATATTTAAAAACCTTACATAAATTAACTTCACTTATGTACAAATGCAACAAGAAAATATTCAAAAGATAAATACGAAATAATCTAAATTCGATCTTTTTGTGCCATTCAAAGCACTTTCTGAGTTCAAAACGTTTTTGCATTTTCGGACATTTTTCGCAAAAAAAAGACTAGATTTATCTGGAAAAACGAAGTGAGCGAATGATCTGATAATTTGCGCTCAGGCCTACATCAAATGGTACAAAAATAGTCCTCGATAGAGTCCCTTTAATTTAGAAGCTCGTATTGAACTTATTTTCTTAAAGGCACATTAAACCCCTGAAATAAATGAGTTTTTCCTTTTGTAGAAAGGGAAAAAATATGTTTGATAAAGTTGTAATAATGGATTTGGAACATGTGATATGCTTATCACCTGAAATAAAAAAGCATTGAATGTCTAATACAAAACATTGCTCAGTTATGATTAACTTTGGAAACTGTTACATAATACCAAAAAAAATGACTTTTGCAAAAAAAAAATGATAGCAGTTTGAGGCTTAATGGGCCTTTAACTTTAAAATAGTTTGCCATGTTTACTAGTATATTCCTACTGACCAAAGATCTTCTATATCCTCCAGTTTTAAATCCATTTCATCCGCCATATTTCAAGATTATTATCACAATGTATAGTTTCATTAAGTCTATTTATTACTCCACATTTGGAAGTCAAAGTCCGATCATTTTTTTTTCCTTGTGAACTTGATAGTTCTGTGGCGTTCACATTTTAAATGTTAATTTTATTCCATACTTTTCGTGTAACGAATATCAATATCAAAATCTATATTTTTATTGCAATATCCTTGTAAAATGTAATTCATACAGTACTTAGTATTGTCCGTATTTTATCAAGTGAACATGATATAAGTATCCATATAATAAAAACCCATAATGCACCTTGCACTTCGTAAAATGTGTTCGATTTGAAGTGTTTGTGACTTTTGCATGTCGTACTTAAGATAAACCATACAGTTTAACTGATTAAACTATTTTAAGGAATTAAAAGTGCCGATTTCTTAAGATTAAACTTTGAACATTTCAATGCCATTTATATTTATTTATAGACCTGCAAATATCTACCGGCCAACATTGACATGTACTTGGTATGTAGTGTTGACATAATTGGAAAAAAGTAAATACAAAATGTACAGTATATCAAACATTATTTCTACAGAGTGACCTAATTTAAATAAGTTTAAATTTAAACTTGTACTTTACTATTTAAATTTTAATTACTGTAAACACCGGCCGTGTGTTTTTATCTTATTGGTTGTCTAGTTTTTAGTTTCAACGTAATAGTACGAAGTACATTATGCGCTACGACAATCATCGTGTATTATATCTTTTAATTATTGTTGTAAAACGATCGCAGAAAATAAGCACCAATGTATTGAACATAATCTTTTTTTTTTTTTTTTTTTGGTGTTTTATTATTTGCACACTTTGTACATCAAGTGCGAGATAATAAATGTTCTATTTAGTAATCACGAAAGAGTGTGCGCGTGCGTGCGTGCGTGTGCGTGCACGTGTGTATATCGGTTGTGGAATTGGAGTGGCTGGGTGTGCGTATGCATGCTACAATGTTGAATATAATTTTGATAACCTATATAATTAACATGTGAGTTTTATTACAAAAGGCAATACACATATATTTACATATATATCTATTCAGAAAAAGAAGAACACCTATTTTATCATGAATCACGGACTTCAATTTACAAAGTCCGTGCATGAATACATCAGTTTCTTGGTGAAATTAGTAAAAAAAAACTTTTATGTTTCAAGCATATCTTCTTATTGAAAAATGACAAAATAGATTGATTACGAAAAACATGCGATGAAAGATACAAGATGTCAACGAGACAAACTATTCCGAGTATTTCTACCTGTTCTGGGCGGCAGACAGCAAGGCATCCAAGTCTACATAGCTCCTAGTCACTTGATACATCTTGCCTTTGTGATTGCACTGGCTGTCCCAGAAATATGACATCGGCATCGCAATATCTTTTTTTTTTAATCAAGCGTTATTGTATTGTAAACAAAACTGTATAATAAAATTGTTTATTTTCACAATGAAATATTGCCATCTGCGCATATGATACAATAGTCAAAATATTTCCACGTGCCAGAGCTAGATTATTAGGTATTTTTGTTCTTGGTACAGAATCTCGCTTCGTAGAGGAGAGATATTGTCCAAACACAAATTAGTACTATATCTCAACGCGTAGTACAGGAATAATGATAAAATTATTCCCTATGCACAGCATTTTTAAAAATCACTTTCACCAATGGGTTAGTGTTATACTATGAATATTTTCAAATCAGGCACACCAGACATATCTTCGCGTATTAGAATATGTAATATCACACTACAAACCATACGTATTTTGAACTTTATAGAATTATTCCCAATGTAATTTTACTCATAATATATTTACTATCGTGTAAAATCCATGTTTTTCATTTCTGCCCACCACAAAAATTACAAATCTTTAATAGCATGTTTATAAAGAAAAGTACATAATGAGAGGAAATTGTGATCATAATAAATACATTTGTTGAAACACTTCCAACGAGTATCAAAAATACTTTAATCGCATTAAATTTTATTTATCCTTATTTCAATACATATTATTATGTATGCACGGCAAAGAGTATCTTGTTTTGAATTTAAAGGCCACTCACATTGAAATGCTCTCTAGTGTACGCAGATTAGTGCTTAATAGACAAGAAAAAAATAGATAAAACATATTGTCGATAAATCATGACAAATCGAAAAATTATGTATCAAGCATAATTTTGCCAAAATAGATGAACATAATTTATATGCCGTTGTTAATGTAAAATTTCAAATAAAACTGTATGTACTTTTGTCAATATACTGTCACAGATAGAGAATTGAGAAAAAATATATGTACTGATCCATCACAGATAAAGAGAAACATATGTTGATTTGTCAATATACCATTACAGATACCAGCACTGTTGTTGGTATTCCAAAACAAATAAACTAGTTATATATGTTATGTTGTCACTATGGTATAATTCCATGACAAACAGGGAATAAAAGATATAATTTATGTTATGTTGCCAGTATAAAAAAATAGACATCCAAGCTAGCGAATAAAGTAATGCACTATTTTTATTGGTTATGTGCCCAGTAGAATAAAAAAAAATACCTCGTAGAGTCGGGCAATAAATATATGACGTGCTTATATTGTGATACTAGCATTTCGCATCCATTTACGCTATTAGTCGGTCTCTTGCAAAGAAAGAGGTAATTAATGGTTAGTTATCAAGGAAAGCCGGTACTATAGGTCGACTAGCAAATGTAACGTCAAGTCAAAATGTACTGTATGCCCGCCCGTGCCATATCGTTTTTATAAACATCACGTCAAAATAATTATACTGTATGCCCGCCAGTGCCGTATCGTTTTTACGGAGTCGCAAAAAGAAAAAAAAGTGATGTCTAAAACATTATATACTATAGTAGTTTTCGCTTACCATTTATTATTTCCTTTCACAAGAAATCGAACTAGCACTGAATGCTTAGATAAAGATGGTAACTTAAGTGCAGGTAGCTTTACCATGTCCGTACTTTGATTATTATACGATACTATTCCATAAAAAAACAACACTATTTAATTAACTAATCTACGTGGCATCATTTTTTACCATTATCTACCACACGGAAACCCGTGCATGATGATCTGATCTAAGTGAAGATCTTATACATGCGGGTAATACAAAGAAAATTATTATCTTTAAATGGAAAACTGATTGAAAGGTTTTAACAGTTTTGTTATGTTAAGTTATATTTCGAATTGATATCTTAATTGATCTCAACACGGATTTGTTTAGATAAAGGAGGTCAGACTTTCTTTTGGGAAATACATTTGCAATCTTTTTCAATGTGTTATAATTTCTTAACCAAATAATTGCGGGAAAAATTGACACCTTAAACTGTATTCGAGTGGTCATTAAACTTTTTTCAAGGACTTAATAAATGCAGATTTAGAGAAATACCCGTATATCCGTACATTTTAGTAAACATCCATTAGACTAATTTTATAATAAAACATTTGCGAATAATCCCATAAATCACACGTTTTTATCTGAAGGTTGTTGCATTATGAATTTCTTTTTATACAAATAAAATAAACATAAGACTTTTCCCGAGATTGTTTCTATGTACATGTACATGTATATAAAAATATATCCATGAATAAATTTATAGAGAAGTTAAATAGACCCGCATATATAGCATTGATGAATTATAAGCAAAAATTTACGACTATCGAACGAACATCTGGTATCGAATTCATTAACAGATTTCTGTACTAAAAATATGGTTCTTATATTTAACAATATTGCAGAATTTTTTTTTAAAAAAGACACACTTTATTAAATACTTACGAGTTTTCACGAAAGGAATACGGTTTCTTTCTTTTTTTCTTGCATTTAAATGTACAGACTTTATAAACATGTTCATTCTACTCAAGTATGTACCGGCACCGTGAAGAATAAACAAATGTGCATGGATATTTTAAACGGTAAATTATTTAATATAGGATACACACACATGCAAACGCGCTTGGATGCACGCGCGCACTCACACGCATGCACACGCGCGCGCACTGTACACTCATGCACGCACGCACGCAGAAAAATACTGAACGCATTGACTTTTTCTTTGAGTAGTGGATAATTATGGTATTATGATATTGTTATAGAAATAAAACTGATTTTAACTTTGGCTAAATTAGAATAAACTGAATCTTCAAGACCTCGATCTTCTTTTGCTATGTTTTATGTAAATTTGTATATACATTTGTACTTTTTTAACAATACAATATTCCCTTACAAACGGAAGTAGCATTTCGCGCATGTATTTTTATAAGCGCTTCCTTTAAAAGAAATACATTTACTTTATTTGACAATAGAGAAAATACGGGGCGTACTCTTCAAATTTTATATTTTACTAGAATTAAGAAATTTGTACTAAAATTATGAAATTTATATGCATTGTTACCTTCTTATTCCTGGGTCAGATATTTTTGAAGAATCCTTTTGGAAAGCGGGTTTCTTTTTTAATAATTCTCGAAGTTCTTGTCCGCTAGTGGAAGGACATTCACTACTATCGTTTGTATTTAACTGTGTTATATCATCCACAAACACTTTTACAGGTCTATAGCGTGCATGAAGATCATAACTAGTGTGCGACTTAGAATACAACAAAAGAGATTTGTCTGTTGACACCGGCGGTATGTGTCGTCTGCCGAGAGCTGCTCGTCTGCTACATCTAGATCTGGCAGGATTTAGTTTGAGGTTGACTTTATGTGATTTTACAACTTTTTCTTTGAACGCATCCAGTATCTCTTGAGTTATCATGATGTAATCTCGTGTATCTTTAATGGTCGGTAAATGACGGAAGTTTGAGCCTTGTTGAGTTTTTGATTGCCGTGATGATGTCATGGCATGCATGTGCCCTTCCACGCCGTTTACCTCCTCCATGTTTTTTTTTATTTAATCCGAGCACTCACCCAATAAGTTTTATTTTTCAGGAAAATAGCACGTAATTTTTATTATGAGAAAATGTTATACTAAAACCCGAGAAATTCCACTTTCATCCAATCTCACAAGAACTGTCTACCTCATTAACTACGTTTCCTCTAAATTTGTTTCGTCCGCAAACAGTTATAAAAAGACAAACAATTGATTACATGTTTTTTTTTATAGAAACAGCTGCGAGAAATTTACAGGGCGGTTAAAATGTCCTCCAATATAGATATCAGCAAGATATTGACAGATATTCGAGCACGCGAGCAAATCCACTCAAACTCTCCGGAAATTGGTAATGACGCTGACCAATTTGTTTAAATAATGAAACAACAATCTAAAACGAAATAAACGGGACCACAGCATCGACATCGTGTGGTACATTGTATTTTATTGAACTATAATAGTGATAATAATCCATACCATATATACTCAATATTTATTTTCTAGATTTCAAGCAGACCTCAATGGTGGAGAGGTGTCGCAGACGAACAATGGTTTAATGATCCATCGTCGAAGCAACTTCCAAGCGTACATGCACAACAACAATATTACTTGAGTGACTAAGCATTTTCCAGTTTTATAAATTCTAGCAAAATTTCCAAAAATTCGTTTCTGAAACTGTCCTTACGTTTTTTTAAAGCTATTTAGCTATTAAGATAAATTCCGCACACTACTAAATCTCACCCTTACTATTTCAATTTAACATTGTCAATAGTTGTTTGAACTACTAGGATATGGCTGTGAAAACCCATATCCATATAACTTTTGTAAAAATGTCTCAAACACGTGGTAAAGTAGATATGATACATTTACTTATCAAAAATCAAGTACTATTAAAGGGAATAAAATATTGCAACAAGAGTGGCTATATACGGCTGCCTATTTCTTTTTAAATCCCCACTATTACAGCTGGGGTAGTAACTGGCGCTAATTCTTCAACCCACACATTCCTGTTTATTTTTTCAATGTATTCATAAAACGATTATTTCCACCATAAATCCGTTATTCTTTTAAACACGATTAAAGAATTAACTCCCTGATTTAGGAACACGTGTCGCGTTAATTAAAAACAAAACTAAAAAACACCCAACAATTTAAAATCCGAGCCATTTACTAATAAATGTTTTAATTAAATTGTTCAAACAGAGAAACAGTTTGTGTTGTATAGAAAGTAAAACAATGTCAACAAATATGAAGTCTATCTTAATTTCCTATCTTTGTACTTTATTGACTTTCAGGTACAATTACGGCGCTGACAATGTCGTTAATTTCCGCGACCTCACGCATGACATGCATTACCATACCTTTATCAACGTTTTTCAATTTTCAAATATAAGTTGAAAATATCTGTCAAACGGTCAACTACCAGTTCTTAGCATTTTAAGAGAGGTTAAAACTAGACGTAAATGTTTAAACATTTTACAATAAACTTAAATAAAATTTCACCGGCCTAATTGAAAGCACACGTTCTTCAAACTGATCAAATTACGTTTTAAACACTAATTATGCACTGCTTTTACATTGTCACATGTAATATGAAACTAGTTTTAAAAAATAGAAAAATAAATTAATGTTTCGATTTTTATCATGTTGATTTGTAGACTTTCAGGATGGTGTGAATCGATGATGCTTTGTTATTTATAGATAATTTGAAGAGGATTATTTATTTTTTTGAAAATATTCTTGTAACGCTTTCATATTTCTGTTTCCATCTGTAATTCAGCTCTTAATTATATTTCAAGTAAAAAAAACATATTGCTTTGAAATGTTAAACTTGGCTTTTCTGTAAAGTGTTTTAATTTTTCAATGAGTTGTAGATATAGTTTCGACCTTTCCCCTCCGTGTGAAAGATGTTATTACATGATTTATAACTTTTTTCTTTCTTTTTTTTCTATCAAGGTCATTTGAAAGACTTAGTGCTTCCTAGTTTTAACCTTAAATAGACTTTAACCGGAAGTAATTAACCTTTGCCAGCAGTATGAGGTCAAGCAAGCCCGGACGTGTGACAAGGCTCTGCTGTTAAACAGTTTAAACAGTTTATTGAAAATGCTGGGCCTCATAGAGGCATCAGTCACATATACAATAATATATACATACAGTATGACATATAAAGAGATATCCACGAAATATGCTGATGTATTACATGGCAAATATAAATCAAAAATGAAAGTGTTACATTATGAAAATAAGCTTAGTTATCAGTTACTTAAATGCTGAAATAATTTTTTTACAGAATACTGCAAGTTTTAACAATATACTCCTATCTGTGCTTGTGGTGGTGGTATTTTATCCGCCGGATTACGGTAGTACGTCACATTGAAATTACGAGAGCACAGTTCAGACACTGGCTCGTTCCTGGGCATGTTGTCAAGCAGTTTACCGGTACTAGAACTGATTACTTCTATACATTCCAGAGCATAGGTACAGTGCGAATGACCATGGAAATGATTTCATGATGAATTTTCAACGAAAGTAACCTTCCACCGTCCGGGAATCGAATCCGGGTCGCTCGATGTACAGTCGAATGCTTTACCTACTGAGCTAAACGGATGGCTATTAATCAGGCTCTATACCATTGGCTTTATATTAATCTATAAATTTTACCTTGATATGCCCAAATTGGAAATGAACAGTCCTAAAAATGGAAGCTGGACAAATTCATTTCAGAGATCCAGCAGGTTAACTGATCAAGTGTATCTATTGCATAATTATATAAATTATATATTCAATAAAGCACTCTTTTTTTTCTCTCGGAATATTCAATTTTAATTAATTGTATCATAAAATAAATTTTAAAATGCGTTTTTAACAAGTATCAGTGTCAATTTAATGTTGGCTTTGTGCTGAATTCAGATTGTTGCCAATGTGTATTTTTTTAAATGTAATAATACCTTCTTTTATATGTACAATATATTGACATCTTTATCAAATATGTTACAGATAATTTTCATAACAGGTTAAGTTTTCTGTTTACGGTGGCCCATATTATCCTGTCAGATTTTATGAAAGTGTTTATAAAAGTTAAAATAAATTTAATGCAGAACTTAAACACCGATCGAAAAAGGCCTTTCAATAAAATGAAAGTTTAAATGGTGTTTTGACGTAAGTATATACTTACATTATCGAGAGTTTCAATATTAAATCTGAAGGAATATATATGGTCAATATCAACTTCTATTCTTCTTTATAGACAGGACAGATTTTAAGAAAATATGAATGCTAGAGGCATTTTATAGTACAAGTAATATCTTGAGTGTTTTAACCTAATATGGGTATGCTGAAGACGATGAGGGTGGATACCAAGAAAATAAAAATGACCTTGACCTTCAAAAGGTCAATTCAAAATGGCCGCTTAAAAATACTAAAATAGGTCATTAAATTCTACAAGAAGATTATCACATCATTCCGGTACCCTCCAATAAATTTCTAGGATATCTTAAAGTAACAGCAAAGTTATCTATACAAATATAACTTGTAAAAAATGGAGACCATATATAAAAGTCACGTGGGTTGGCTACATAGTAGAGGTGTTAAAATATAATTGTAATACACCTTTTGTTAGCCATTGAAATAGTATTTTATGTATAAAGGATTTTCAAAAATGGCTATTAATCAGAGCGGGCGCAATGGTGCAGTGGTAACACTCTCTGCCTACAAATCAAGGGGTCGTGAGTTCGATCCCCCGCTACTCCACTGAACGAATAAATGACTACAAGACTGACAAAACCAGGACATATAACACATAGACATAGACACATAATGACGGCAACGATAGAAACAAGAAAAGACCTTAACGGAGCAGGAAACAAGTACCGAAAGTACAAGACCCAAGACGACGACCGATAACAGAAGGAAGAACGGAGACAAGACCTAACAACAAGAGAACAGAGACGAGGACCGCGAACAGAGACAGGGACCTATAACAGAAGAACTGACAATAAGCGATCTAGAGACGTCGCCGATAACAGAAAAACAGAGACACAGACTGATAACAGAAGAACTGACAACAAGACAACGAGGATTGATAACAGAAAAATAGAGACGCGGACCGATATAAAAGAATAACATAGACGAGAACAGATGACAGAAAAATGGAGACAAGGATTGATAACAGAGACGGGAACCGATGACAGAAGAATTGACAACAAGAAAACGGAGACCAGGACTGATTACAGAAGAAAACAACGGATGACAGAAAAACGAATACGAGAACCGATAACATAACAGACAGGGACCGATAACAGAAAAATTCACAACAAGACAACGGAGACGAGGATTGTTAACAGAAAAATAGAGACGAGGATTGATAACAGGATTGATAACAGAATAACATAGAACTGATGACAGAAGAATGTAGACATGGATTGGTAACGGAGACGGGAATAATTGACAACAAGGAAACGGAGACCAGGACTGATTACAGAAAAAAGAGACGAGAATCGATGACAGAAGAACGGAGAAGAACATAAACGAGAACCGATAACAGAACAGGACATGGACCGATAACAGAAGAACTGACAACAATACAACGGAGACGAGGATTGATAATAGAATAATATAGACGAGGACTGATGACAGAAGAATGAGACGGGGATCGATAACAGAGACGGGAACCGATGACAGAAGAATTGAGAACAAGAAAACGGAGACCAGGACTGATTACAGAAGAATAGAGACGAGAACGGATGGCAGAAGAACGGAAAAGAACGAAGACGAGAACCGATAACAGAAGAACGAAGACGACGACCGATGATAGAACATCTACCAACAAAAGAACTGAGACCAGGACCGATTACAGAAGAACGAAGATCACGACCAATAACAGAAGAACTGACAACAAGACAACTGCAACGAGGACTAATAACAGAAGAACGAAAGTGACGACAAATAACAGAAGATCTGACAGCAGAGAAATGCGACGAGAACCGATAACAAAAGAACGAAGACGACGACCGGAAGACGATGACCGATTACAGAAAAACGAACACCAAAACTCAGAAAAAGGTGCCTTTAATTAATGTATATTTTGCATGCACACGTTTTAACCCCCTCACACATATTTACGCTGTGCAAAATATAAGTAGGCGTCTGAGTTGCATAGAGTGCCAGATAAAATCCAGCAGATAGGGCAAGAAAGAGTGTAGTGTTCGCTGCGTAAAACCCTAAATATGTTTAAATGCTTAAAAATTTTAATACTATCTTTAATATTACTTCTATATTACTATTAAATTATCCTATAGAAAAATGTATGCCATCTTGGATTTTTCGGCCATATTGGATTGTTTTGATATTTTTAATTCTGTTATGGTGTCTAATTTGTTTTTACCTAAACATGCTTTGTGACAAATTTCAGGCTTTTCCTTTCCTTAAAAGTTTGATTTGATCTATCGATCATCCATTTATGATAAAGAAATGTGGCGGCCATTTTAATGGTCATTTTAAATGGCCATTTCAATGGTCAAGATCAAGTTTTTCAATTTGGTATCACCTTTATCGGATTCAGCATACCTTAAATAGGTAGAATACACCAAGATACCACTTGTACTACAAAATGCCTCTAGCATCTTATAGGGAGCCAAATTCTCAAAATCAGTCCTGTCTATTATTAAGATAGCTTTTAGTGATTGCCGGTTGTTTTTTTCTGCAATTTCTATTGGGCTTTAAAGTATAGATTCAGTCCATCAATATGAAGATCGTTTGAAAACGACCATCTTCGGGTAATGCTGCAATGTCGGGCAATGCTGTACATCATGTCGGGTAATGCTGTAATGCCGGGTAATTCTGTAATATGTCGGGTAATTCTGTAATGTGTCCGGTAAAGCTGTAATGTCAGGTAATGCTGTAATGTCGGGTGTTGATGTACATAATGTTGGGTAATGCTGTACGTAATGCAAGGTAATTCTGTAATGTTTGGTAATGCTGTTATGTCCGGTAATTCTGTAATGTCTGGTAATTCTGTAATGTCAGGTAATTCTGTAATGTCAGGTAATTCTGTATTGTCGGGTATTGCTAGAGTGATGCTGTTATGTCGGGTAATTCTGTAATGTCGGGTAATTCTGTAGTGCCAGGTACTGTTGTTATGTAAGGTAATTCTGTAATGTCGGGTAATTCTGTAGTGCCAGGTAATTCTGTAATGTCAGGTAATGATGTAATGTCGAGCAATGATGTAATGTCGGACAATGATGTAATATCAGGTAATGGTGTAATGTCAGGTAATTCTGTAATGTCGGGTTATTCTCTTGTGTCAGGTAATTATGTAATGTCAAGTAATGATGTAATGTCGGGCAATGATTAATGTACGGCAATGATGTAATATCAGGTAATGCTGTAATGTCGGGTAATTCTGTAGTGCCAGGTAATGTTGTTTTTGTCAGGTAATTCTGTAATGTCAGATAATTCTGTTATGTCGATAATTCTATAGTGTCAGGTAATTCTGTAATGTCAGGTAATGATGTAATGTCGGGCAATGATGTAATATCTGGTAATGCTGTAATGTCAGGTAATTCTGTAATGTCGGGTAATTCTGTAATGTCGGGTAATTCTCTAGTGCTAGGATTTAAGAGAACATTTTATGTCATAAAAATCAAAATCGATACACAACAACAAAACAACATTTTCTGTATGTTAGAGCAGCTAGTCTAAACATCATTTTAATCCATTGGAGAACCACAATCTTTTGCTTAATGTATAATGTAATTTATAGCCTTTATTATCTTAACATAATTTTTTTCGTTTACATAAATAACATCTTTTAAAAGCTTTTATGTACATATTCTTTATAAATTTCTATGAAATTCCGTAATGCCAGGCTCTTCCTTTAGTTTTTTTTTTCTTAAAGATTTATTGAAATGGCAAAATCTTGCTTCGCATATTGGCCTACTATGATAAACTATGATAAAATAAACGCTCGCCTAATTAAGTACATCATCTTGCGGGTGATTGAAAAAAAAGGAAGAAAGAGAACTATATTTTCAATCGATATGTTTGCCATGATCAAATGCACTCTCTGTATACGTATTGATTATCTATTGGGTTTTAATATTGATTTCATATTTTTGAATCAATCTATATTATGAGCGTTATAAAATTTAAGCCGTTGTAAACGTAAACTCTGGTGCACTTCATAATCTAGGAATGGCTCTTAGATATTTTCAGGTGAGTAATCACTTTTTAAATACAGAACACTGATATAGAATTGATTAATTAATGAAAGACTATCCGCAGATTTGTTTAACAAACAATGTTTAGCCTGCATTTCCTGTCGCGTGGTATGGGTTAGAGCTTAAAACGTCATTGAACATTGTGCATGTTGTTTACCAACGACGCAAAGCAGTTGCTATCCGAAGTTTGACGGAAAGGGGCGAGAAGATGCGATTATCTTTTGATTGAACAATTTTTCACATGAACAAGTTATCTTTATACTAACAGATATGTATGTTACCATATCAATTTAAATAGCATATACATGTACATGCCTATTCAAATTAACATATAATGTATAATAATGATAGCAAACAATTTCAATTGTAATTAAACTAAGGAGAATGAATGTTGAAGTGGATTGGTCTTCAATGGGCATATATTCCATAACTATTTCAAATATTGATAAAAAACAATAGAAAAATTATCAATCGGATATTCTTCTGAAATATTGCTTGAAAAAAAAAGCCAATAAAATTCTATGTGATGTAGAATAAACATGTATATGATAAATACTAATATTTTGTTCTAGAACATTTTATTTTCCACTATAATAATGAGCCGCGTCATGACAAAACCAACATAATGGGTTTGCGACCAGCATGGATCCAGACCAGCCTGCGCATCCGCGCAGTCTGATCAGGATCCATGCTGTTCGCTATCAGTTTCTCTACTTGTAATACAGTTGGTAAGCGAACAGCATGGATCCTGATCAAACTACACGGATGCGCAGGCTAGTCTGGATCCATGCTGGTCACAAACCCATTATGTTGGTTTTTCGTGACACGGAGTAGTATATGGGCCTCTTTAGCCCCAAGACTGCGCATGCGCGGCGGCCATTTTGTTTTCTATTAATAGCTACTCATTTGCATAAAAGAAATTACCTCACTACACATGCGCGGTGGCCGTGTTGAATAACAGACGTGCGGCGGCCATTTTGGATTCTTTTTTAAGAATGACATCATCACGTTTTAAATAGAAATAATATCTCCCGGAAGTATACGGAGCTGACTCGTATACACGATCTTAGGGCTTGAATCGCGGACATTGAAGGTCAGGTCCTTGGCCCTAGACGGGGAGATAATCACCATTATTATAACTACAGATAACCTTTGTATAAAAACGTGCTTAACTACACATATTAATTAATAAAATCATTGTTCGAATAAAGTAGAATCTCTTTAAAAAATGCAAACTACTTGATTACATTTTTAATTAGTAATAAAAACTGACTAAATATTAATATATTATTTTGAATGTGTTTTTCTATAAACATTCCAAATAAAAGAAAATACATTAGTAATAAGATATAATTGAAAACCGACTGACTAATTGACTCTCTATAATACTATAAATAAGACAATTAATTTATTACTTTAAATTTGTTTCTTTATAAAAATTTTAACATATAACAAAATATATGAAATTTATTTTCTATTTAATTCGATATTATGACTCTTTCAAATAATGTTTCTATATAAAATAATAATAAGGACATTTACTGTAAAATAATTTAATAAATATCTGCGTAAAATACATACATACGATGTTGACTCCTCGGCGGTCCGAATCCAAATGACACAAATCATCAGTGTATTATTTCTAAATGCTCTGATCACGAGTGTAAAGTCGCCACAATGTATGGCGTGTGTTTATTTAGGGACGGAAACACTAACAATGGCCTATTGAAATGTTAAAGTTAATCCCTTTAAAGTAGCCACTTGGTCTGGCGTATGTTTATTTAGGGACGGATATGCGGACAATGCTCCATTCAACTGTCAAAGTTTACCCGTCTAAAGTAAAAGCGGGTAATTTATTGAAGTGTCAGTTTACCACTGGGGCATAATTTTAAACTCATTTTGGAAAAGAAATGTTTTGAAAACTGATCATCACGAATGTGCAAAATTATAAAAAACAAAACAAAAAAACTATTATAACCGAACAAAAATACAACAGAAAAAGCGTTTTTCGTCTTTTGTGCAACATTTTACGATATACATTTTGATTTTTTTCGCATCAAATGATAGACCTGACAGAATGCTTCAAAATAAACCCTAGGTTCTCGATTCGATTTTTAACCGTTATCGAGTTATGGCCCATTAGTGGTTTTTAAACCATTTTTTCTAAAGTTCATAAAACCTTTAGATTTATATGCCGTTTGAAAGATCTCTGCCAGTAGATACAGAAAATGTATTATTATATAGATCTATATTTTACTGTTTCTGAGATAGGAGAGTTTCAATATGGCAGACAAAATCACTCATGCGGAAAAACGCGCATAACTTTTTCATTTATGAACAAAACATAGTCGTGTTTGGTATCAAATTGAAGGTCTTGACGAGTACATTTTAGTCACGCGATCAAACCGGATGTGAAATTACTCGTGCGTAAAAAAATATGTATTTTGGTTACTAGAGCAACCGAATACAATATGATTTTTAATTGTTGACTACCAATTGAAAGAACAGTTCAATACCTTTAATTTACACACCCCATTGTTGATTCGATATTTAACTGTTACAGAGATATTACGTAACAGCGATTTTTAAACCCAAATTTTAAAGTTCACAAAACCCTTCAATTTATATACAATTAAAAAGATTTCAATCAGTAGATTCAGAAAATGCCTAGGTTTATGGGTCTATCATTATGTGTTACTGAAATATTACACATATAGACTTAGTGTATTTTAACCACCAATGTTAGATAAAGCGTTATTGCACTAAATTGTTTGAAAATATTCAAAAGAGTATGGCGTCCTTATTTATGGTTCGATTTTATTCATTTTGGTATCAAATTAAAGGTATTCAAGAGTACTTTTAGACGCTGTCGATACTAAAGTTCATGCAGGAATTCAAAATCACTTATGCGTAAAAATATATATATTTTCATATTGAAACCATCATAATTTACTTATATATGAATCGATTTCAATAATTTTCTATTCATAGGTCATGAAGACATAAGCTAAAAATAACTTGCAATCAAATGCTTGAATGAACTGACCAATCAGGAGAAACCTTCATGTATATACAGAATCTAAGATTTTTCTCATTCTGTCTTGAGAATTTTAACCCTCAAGATGGACTATGATGATTTCGGGACTGAATATACACCTACAGACTTGTGTCAAGTCGACCAAATGGAACAAGCATTTATGACATTAAGCTCAAAAACTACTGAGGAACTTAATACTCGGGCAGAACTGAAAAGTTACTTTTTAAATAACGCGCGATACCTAGTTCATTGTCAATGTTGCAATAAGTATGGGTGTTCCTTTCCGGATGTATGAATGTATAGAGGTCGATTTTCAACGCAAGTGTTTACATAGAATGAATGAACTGTTTAATGTATGGTATCCACGCGCAAAAGAAATAGGACAGAAGAATGGATTGTTACCTGTACATATACTGGTTCATGTAAAGTATACACACACCCCCATTTTTTTATATTCAATGCCTGTATCCGATACAAATATGAAAGAATTCGTTCACGAAAATGGACAACAAAATTTCTAAAGTTATTGATCATATTCACAGTGTGTTGGAGAAAAAAGCTCTATCTTGAGAGAGCATAGTTTAAACTGAAAACGACATACATAAAAGCCCATTATGTAAAATGATATATAACTTTGTAATTATATATGTTACCATATAGAAAATAAACATATTTGACTTGAAGTAGTATTTGTCTTCTTTATATTTTAAGCGTATCAATCAATTACATTTACATGGTATCATTATACAAAACAAGGCAATATTTTTCTTTACAACCTTTTTATTGGGGTACCTTTACATTCATTATACATGAAACTAAAATAAAATCGAATAAAAATCGTCATTCAATTTCCTGCATTGCACATCAAATTGTGTTAAAAGGTCCTTTATGTTTATATACATGATGTAATATACACAATATAGTCCGCATATTTTTCGAATTTTTAATCCTGTATTTGACTGCAATTCATCCAGTAAGGCTCTTTTCAACAATTTCTCAAAGTGAACAGTATACTGACTGGGTCGTTTACTCAATGAATTAAAAGACTTGTCTGGTCCACGACCTAATATTTTCCAGATCCTTCACTCGTGTCTGTATTTGAAATCACAAATCTTCTTTTTGTTTATGAATTTCAACAGCCGCACACACTGTCACTAGGCACTAGTATCTTTTCAATATATTTTCTAGCTGGTAATTATCCATTTTAGAAAGTGAACCGAGTCCAGTCAATATCCGTTTTACGCTTCTTAGGCGCTAACGTTTCTATATTGGAATCACGTAATCGTTTAACTTCCGACTTTGCCATTTCAACCGCTTGTGTTACGGGGCTAACCATATTAACCACAGGGCGTTGTGCATTTTGAAGCTTCTCTTCCGTTTCTTTAAGCTTTTTCTCCGTTTCTTTGAGCTTCGTTTCTAGTGTCACGAGCCTTCTACGCGAATTACCGCCTACCTATAATGTACCGGCCTCTATAATCGGGTGTCACGTAACCGTCTCTCAAATCTTTAAAATGCTGATACCATTTATCTGGGTCATTTATATACGGCACCCATTTTTGTTGTTTATGATCGTACACCTCTATGGAACCCATGTTTGTGTTTTAAAAGTAAAGGAGCAAAAATCATTCTTACGGTATTTTTATTCTCCATCTGATATGTGATCTTCATTGTCATCATCTTTATTATTCTCACCATTAAAATCCTTGATGTCGTGATTGGGCATAACGCCTCAAACCGTCTTTTCTAAGTTTAACGGCTTGTCGGATAGATTCTTCAATGGTCATGTCGTGCTGATGTCTAAGTTTCTTCGCTGACTGGAGAATTTGTTGCTGAGTGGGGTCCTCTTGTAATGCGTAAAAGTCAATCAGAAACTGGCATAATTTTGTCTCATCTTCTTTCTCAAATGTGGCAACGCATCATGGCAGTGCGAGCATAAAGCCTCATTCAAAAGAGTACTCTTGATCTATGTAATTGTTTAGCCCGTCTTTAAATTGTTCTTTACAAGACTGTCGTAAAGGCTTTTGAAATCTTCTATCCCATATGTCATGACGTTTGCGTTCTTCTTTGAGCTCTTCTTTTATACGCTTACCAGGAGGTCCCGTAAAGAAAGACTTTCTTTTCATTCCAATATTTTCTTCGTCTGACTCATCCATGCTCCTCCTCCTCATAATCATCATCAACATCATCATTTAAAAGTATTGTCAGACAAGTTTTCTTCTCCACTAATTCATTTTCGGAATCATCCGCAGGCTGTCTTTCCCTACCTTGACTTTCAAAAATGTTTTTTTCGCGCAAACGGTCATGTTCTGGAGTAGAGGATTTCAAGTCTACCACTAGATAACCGTGCGGTCTCGATGTCGCTCGTTCGAAGCGTTTCATAAAGATGTTATAGAGGAAGGATATATTCTCCTCGCTAACGTAGCCACCTGCTGTCTGTCAATAGGGTTATTGAATAATACTAGGTACTGCGTATTCAACGCGATATCTCTGCAGGCTTTTCCTTGAGGAAAATAAATTTTGAGTCAGATACACGATAGATATGTTCCTGTGGTGACTGCCTTTGGTAAAAAAGATCAGCAATTCTTTGATCGCATTTGGCCTCTGTCATTAAATCGTCAAAAAACAATCAAGTTCCTTTTACGGGTATTAATATACTCTTGACTATTGTCAAGTAGTCGGGGATACCTCGTACAAATTCTATCCAGGGTATTCTACGTTGAAGTTTCATCGTACAGAGGCTGCCATTGCCCGTAACACAATATGATGCGCTCTGGTGGCGGATTTACTAGATTCGGATAAAAAGCAGTGTTTTAGTCCATTCAGTTTTTCCACTACCACTAGGCCCGGAGACGACCATGGAAAATGGGTGTTTTGAAAATTCATCTTTTCTGAAGTGTCCCTATGAGTGATTTGTTGCGATAAAGAATCACTTTTAACAGTGTCATCACTCCCATGTACATAACGTTGATGTCTCAGCATGACGTCACGTCTTGAGAAGGATTGCTGGCAAAACAGAACACTGATTCATTATTAAAGTGGTCACAGAAGTACACTGCGGTATTCTTCCATCTATTTGATATGATCATCCTTCTTACGCTGTAGACAGTTTTCTTTGTGATGGCGGCGGTGGAGGTGGCGGCGGCGGCGGTGGCGGCGGCGGCGGCGGTGGCGGCGGCGGCGGCGGTGGCGGCGGCGGCGGCGATGGTGGTGGAGGAGCAAGAGATAAATAGAAGACAGATCCTGTTTCCAGTCATAAATGTTTATGAAATATACGCAGAAAAAACATATTCTTTTTTTATACATACGTATTAAAACCTGATTGGCTGCTACTTTTGGCAAGCCGTTATCCATCTATTTATGTTATTAATAGTCACGTGACCAAAATCATTGGTCAAATAATCCTTCTGTCTGATTGGTTACATTCAGTCCGTAAAAAAAGAGAAACTGCTTTTAGATTGGACAATGTCATTTCTAAATTTAGATCAGCGCATGCGTATTATGTATCGCAGTGGTGACTTCAGTCATTTGGTGATTGGACGTTTTGGAGTTAACATCATTAACGCAGTAAGTTGAGTTTATATTTCAAGTACAGTATTTTCAATGAAGAATGTTTAATAGAAATAGAGCGTTTATGCACTAGTGATTTTTAGTCAGTATTTATAAAGAGCGCCTTAAAACATTTCGAACGATACCAAACATGACCGGGTTATTTTGACTAATAAAGGTGTAAATCCACATTTTACGCTTGAGTGATTTTACTTCATTTCTTGGTCCCTATCCGAGTCAGCGATACAAAAGTATACATTTTCTGAATCTAGTGAGTAATACCTTTCGTTCGATACAGGTATTGATAAGATCGGTCTGTCGGTTGAGGAGAAAAAATGGATTTCACGCATGAGTGACTTGACATCCGGTTTGATCGCGTGACTAAAATGTACTCGTCAAGACCTTCAATTTGATACCAAACACGACTATGTTTCGTTCATAAACGAAAAAGTTATGCGCGTTTTTCCGCATGAGTGATTTTGTCTGCCATATTCAAACTCTCCTATCTCAAGAAATAGTAAAAGATAGATCCATATAATAATACATTTTCTGTATCTACTGGCAGAGATTTTTCAAACGGCATATAAATCTAAGGGTTTTTATAAACTTTAAAAAAATGGTTTAAAAATCGCTAATTGGCCATAACTCGAAAACGGCTAAAAATCGAATCGAGAACCTAGGGTTTATTTTGAAGCATTTTGTCAGGTCTATCATTTGATGCGAAACAAATCAAAATGTATATCGTAAAATGTTGCACAAAAGACGAAAAACGCTTTTTCTGTTGTATTTTTGTTCGGTTATAATAGTTTTTTTATATATATAATTTTGCACATTCTGATGATCAGTTTTAAAACGTTTCTTTTCCAAAATGAGTTTAAAATTATGCCCAGTGGTAAACTGACACTTCAATAAATAATTAATTACCCGCTTTTACTTTAGACGGATAAACTTTGACAGTTGAATGGAGCATTGTCCGCATATCCGTCCCTAAATAAACATACGCCAGACCAAGTGGCTACTTTAAAGGATTAACTTTAACATTTCAATAGGCCATTGTTAGTGTTTCCGTCCCTAAATAAACACACGCCATACATTGTGGCGACTTTACACTCGTGATCAGAGCATTTAGAAATAATACACTGATGATTTATGTCATTTGGATTCGTACCGCCGAGGAGTCAACATCGTATGTATGTATTTACGCAGATATTTATTAAATTATTTTACAGTAAATGTCCTTATTATTATTTTATATAGAAACATTATTTGAAAGAGTCATAATATCGAATTAAATAGAAAATAAATTTCATATATTTTGTTATATGTTAAAATTTTTATAAAGAAACAAATTTAAAGTAATAAATTAATTGTCTTATTTATAGTATTATAGAGAGTCAATTAGTCAGTCGGTTTTCAATTATATCTTATTACTAATGTATTTTCTTTTATTTGGAATGTTTATAGAAAAAACACATTCAAAAATAATATATTAATATTTAGTCAGTTTTTATTACTAATTAAAAATGTAATCAAGTAGTTTGCATTTTTAAAGAGATTCTACTTTATTTGAACAATGATTTTATTAATTAATATGTGTAGTTAAGCACGTTTTTATACAAAGGTTATCTGTAGTTATAATAATGGTGATTATCTCCCCGTCTAGGGCCAAGGACCTGACCTTCAATGTCCGCGATTCAAGCCCTAAGATCGTGTATACGAGTCAGCTCCGTATACTTCCGGGAGATATTATTTCTATTTAAAACGTGATGATGTTAGTCTTAAAATAGAATCCAAAATGGCCGCCGCGCGTCTGTTATTCAACACGGCCGCCGCGTATGTGTAGTGAGGTAATTTCTTTTATGCAAATGAGTTACTATCAATAGAAAACAAAATGGCCGCCGCGCATGCGCAGTCTTGGGGCTAAAGAGGCCCATATACTACTACACGGCTCTATAATTATAAAGAAATAAAATATCCCACCATATACCTCTCACTTGCCAACAATGTAAGTTTGGGTTTTTTATGTTTAATACTAAAGACTAAATACTATCAGAGTAATTTTTCATAGTATTACAGACCATTATAGACAGATTCACTTTAAGTAGTTTTGTCTCAGACAGCAAGTATGTTTAAGATGAGCATAATGTAACGATTCGGACACGCATCCGACACTATCACACTGGAAGAGAAAATATAAAAAACAAATTTCTTAAAATATCCATGCACATTATGTCTCAGAAACAAATAAATTTTTACTTATTTAGATAAGGCAAACATGGATTTGATAATGTTAAAATAAAGGTTCTAGAGAATGTTAGATACTTGTTACATGCTGAAAGTAGCGATAAATGTGAAATAATTTGTTACAAAAGTTGCAAAATGTTAGCAAAGACGTATTTTGACCTCTATAAAAATACTAAATCACTATAACTGTACTTTTTGCCAAAAATCAACAGATAAAGGAGGGACAGTCCAAGCAAGTGGCCAATTGGTAACTTTTTTGGATACTAGAAAAGAACAAAACATTAAAAAGCTTTTGAGAAATAAAAATGTAATCTTTTCTGAGGCATATTGGGCCTTTAACAAAATTTTGAATTATTGAATTATTCACATCTTTAAGTTTCGAGTATAATGTATTTGATATATTCAATATAAGGTGGGTTAGTGGGATAGATTATTACTTTTTGGTAACTGTTACCAATAAACATATGATTTTTTTTTTAAATAGGGAACAATAGTCGCTCAAGAATGTCGTCTGGACGTCGAAGCGGCCGCAAAGAAGTTACGGAAGGCCATGAAAGGCCTGGGTAAGTACTTAACAGACATGCAGCATTATATTTCTTTTTTTACCACGTTAAATACAGTTAAACCTCTACAAAACGGCCCTCTGTAGAGCAATAACTCTTTGAAAATTCTGTTATTTTATTGCACTTTCTTGAAAATTAAATTCAGTTGCCAAAAGAAAAAATAAAATAAAAAGAAAGCTTTATATTGCAAGCCGGTTTATCATGGAGTTTCATAATGTCGCCGCCAATAAGACAACAAACAAAAATAGCTTGTGCAGTAATGTCGCGCGGCGCGTGGTCGCCAAAAATGCATTAAGTAGCGACAGATTTAATGCACAGCCATGATTTGGACGTTGTACTCACAGACGCATAACTCAGTCTTGATTTTTGTATTTTAGGGACGGACGAGAAAGCAATCATAGAAGTACTTGGTTCCCATAGCAACCACGAGCTTCAGTTGATCAAGGAATTCTATAACCAGCACTTTTTAAGGGTTCGTATAAAAATTTCAAAACCTATTGCTCCCCCACCCATACATGTTCAGCACAATCGCATAAGTTCTTCTCGGCACTTTCCGTTAAACTTCGAATAAGTATGAATAATAGATGAGCTTCGACTTTGTTACGCATTGTTTTAGCATTTATGTATAATTATGCAGAATCAGCTAAGTGAAAAACTATTCTTATTTTGTTGATTTAGATTTTTCATAAAAGCCATTGTACAGTTACTTGTGCTTCCCTTTAACGGCATTTACTCTTCCAATATTTCTTCAAAAACTGAGCAATTAAGCCGATTTAACAAACGCAAAACAAATGTTTAGATAACATCATTATCTGAATTGAACATTTTTCTAATTTATTTTGATATTGTGATGCTCCATTCTTGAAGCACGACTTAATTGAAAAATACTGCGCAAATATAACAAATGTGACAATCATTTTCTTGTACAGGTCTTAGGTAAAGATATCCAGGATGAACTGAGTGGACATTTTGAAAAGTTGTGTCTGTATTTACTGCTCCCTAGACCACACTTCCAAGCTTACTGTCTCCATCAGGCTATGGACGTACGTTCTATTTGTCTCATTTTCATAGTATGAAAATAAGTTTCATAAATGGACCATAGTTAACACTTAAATCATATTGCAATACCTTTGCCCAAGAGGTTCTTATATTGCAATACCTTCTTTGAAACATCTTTTGCAAATTAACGTGTTGCAGTATGATTGCAAATTGCCAAAGACGTTAGTCACGTTATAATGTCAAAGTGCCAAATATGATATTGCAATGCGTTTCCAATTTGCCCATGGGCTATAAGCAGCATTATTAAACCACTTATAATGCACAAGTGTCGAGAATTGTTCTGCAAAATCTTTGCTTACGAGGTATAAGAACAAATTGTTAAATAAATTACTATGTCAATGTGCCGAGTATGTTTCTTGCAATACCTTTCCTCAAATTGTCAAAACAAGTTATAACTATGATTTTGCAATATCTTTGTTCGAGAGTGTTAAGACAAATTGTCTATGAAGTTATTATGTCAAATTACCAACTATAATTTTGCAGTATATCTTTGCTCAAAAGGTATACAACAGATTGTCAAAGAAATAATAATTTCAAAATACAGGGTTTGTTTTTTCAATACGTTTTCTTAAGAGGTTTATGACAAATTGTCAAAGAAGTAATAATGTCAGTGTCGAGTATGATTCTGAACGAGTATATGAAAAGTTGTCAAACTGCCGAGTATGAATTTTTCTGAGAAACAATGGCCAAAATCGCGATACCTTAACAATATCTCTCTAAATTTATATTTAAACTATAAAGTCAAAGAAAGTGTATTTGACATGGTCATGGGAGCAGATCATACTCAGTTACGGATAGTTTCTTTTTTTCTTGTTGGGTTGTATATTTGTGCATGCAGTATATGTGTGCAGTAAACATAGAAAACTATCTTAATGTACAAGTATTTAATAAATCATTTTATTTTGACTATCTTGCATAAAAATATTTCTATAACAATACATGTGGTCACTACAAGCATAGGTTATTAACCTATATTTTTACAGGGACTAGGTACAGATGAAACCACTCTGATAGAAATATTATGTACATGTACAAACCAGGAAATTGCCGAGATCAAAGACGCGTACAGAGAACGTGAGTAAAGAAAGTTGACCAACCAAATCAAACCCAGTTTGGTCACATTTTAACCAGTGTGTATCAGATACTTCAATGTTTACTGTCATAAGTCAGCCTAAAGATATATGATATTGCTTTTAAGAATGACCTTAAGAAACCGGCATTGATGGGGTGCTATTCGACAAAGTAAATATGCTTTATGTTAGCAAGATGTACATTGTAGGTTTCAAGAAAGAACTTGAAGCTGACCTCGAGGGTGACACGAGCGGTCACTTCCGGTGCGTTCTTGTTGGTATCGTACAAGGTAATAGAAGCGAGGAACAGGTTATTGATCAAGCGTTGGTGAATACAGATGTTGAAGAATTACTTAAGGTATAAACACATAAGTAGGTAATGCGCCTCGCGCGTTTTTCCAATTGTTATATGGGCCAAAATTATTAAAGAGGAGTTTTGTGATTAATTGATTTTGCCTCGGTATTTTCTTTTGAGGGTTTGATCTCTATTAGCAAATTTAATTGCAGCGGTCAAATATAATATGAATATTTTTTGATCGCTTTCATGTAAACGCATTGTAATTTTTGGGCTTTCTGTCCTGGTATCATGGCATGGCCATGACCCCCCCCCCCATAAGACTCGAACTAATTACCCTCAGGTGAGTATTGAGGCCAGCACCTTCCCTAGTAAAGGAAAATGTACATTTCTTTGATTTATAAATTAATTAAATATTTTCAGGCTGGAGTAAAGAAAATAGGAACGGACGAATCCGTGTTCAACAGAATATTGGTTCGTCGCAGTGTACCTCATTTGCAGGCGGTGTTTGACGCATACAAACTCAAAGACAAACAAGACATCCTTGCAGCTATACACTCAGAAACTAGCGGACACCTCAGGGAAACCTATCTCGCAATTGGTATTGAGGTTCTTGTAATATTATTATGAATTTCAGCTTTCCTCCTCCAAAGGTTTAGTAAAGCAATTTACATTATAATGAATGTCCGCGCATCAGTCAAATGGTTCACTTTCTTACCGTAATGTACTCAGCTGCAAAGAAAGCGTAGTCACCATTGAGTTGTCTTTTACAATTAATTTTTATATTATGTGATTAGTCCATTTGAATGATGATAAACTTGCAAGGAAAAAATTCATTCCATCGTCTGACAATCCAAATCAGTAAATAGAGAATGGGTCAAACTGCATAAAAAATATAAATGTCCATGTAATAAGAAAATGTTCTACAAAGTTTTGAAAAAGGTTTCAAAGAGCACATGTTTTAAAGAACTACATGTAGTATATGTGCCGCAGTCCCCTATCTGCTATGATTTCCAATTCCTAGACATTTGCATACTAATGATGCATAAGAAGGTCATGTAAATGGTCTGTTGTCCATTTACTTACACATATATCATAATGTTCAAGTATCAGTTGTCAAGCGATTCCTTTTAAAAATTGAAATAAAACTTTTCCCGCTCTTTCAGCTCGTTATGTGATAGATCCAATAGATTATTTTGCCGAATGTTTCTACAAGTGTATGAAAGGGGCGGGGACAGATGACGAGCGTCTGATGCAGCTGGTAGTTAACCATGGCGAGGTAAGAGGTCAAATATTGTTTTAAAAATTAGAAAAAAAGTTTATTTATTTAAAAGCGAATTGTGAACACGCCCCCCCCCCCAACCTCGGGAGATGTTAGGAAAAACGAGCCGTGATTTAACCTGTCGTCTGTCCCCGCACTTCCATGGTTTTGCTTTCGCGCCAAATTAGCAAAGAACTGGGGTAAAAATCTATCAAGTGTATTTCCCGCGGTACAGGGGCAGCTGACTAACATAGTACATAAATGTAAATTATGTTTGCAGTTTCATCACATTAATGAGAGCCAAAAATAATTGCCAGAAACATGGAACGATTTAAAACTGGTCTATATGATCCAAGGTCTTATTCTAAATTGGAAAATGCTAGCTGTTCATGCAACTGGCCTGCAAACGGTGCCTACTCTTTCATGTCCCTAAAATAATGCAGCACTTCACCCATCAGTAAAATCATCAAATAATGACAGAGTGATTTATCTTTCAACCAAATAAAACAGTCTTATTCATAAATTATCAATAACGACTTTTGTCAACCATTTAAGGACATTCCAAGACTCAACACAAAATTTCTGAATATTTGAAGTTATCTCAGTTAACATTACTTTTCTTTTTTTACATACTTCTACATTCAAAATTACCTGAAACTTGTAATGACTAGTTAGTTTTTATTACTGCATATTGCTCTTTGCATAATTTAAGATAGTTAACTGGTATTCAGTTAAAGTAGTACAAATTATGATCAAAGGTACAGAACTCGTACCTTTCCAACTAAAGCTTTCAATCTTAGTATCTTACCAACTTGAATGTGTGTAATTGACTTGTCTTGCTTTTAATTAAGGGGTTCAAGCATTCAATTACACCAGTTCAAACAGCATACAATATACACATGTATGGTGAATCAGAAATTTTCCCAATGGATTAAATTTTGCAAGGGATGACATTGTGCTAGTTTTGTAAATTGAAAATATACATGTATAAGATAATTTATGTGTAAATTGAATATGTTCGATAATAAATGTCATGTAAAACTAACAGAACTGTTAGTAAAATACACAAATATTCAACCAGCAATTATTCCAAATATTGTTTTTGCAAACTTTTGCCCTCAAGAAAATATCAGATACCAGATTTTAAAATAGAGCCTGATAGACTGCAAAAATGTTTAACTGGACTAGCACAGTACTGGTGACATAGTCAAGTCAATATTGCTGCTCACATTCAATGGGGTTGAAACATTTTTCCTAGTAATAAAAACAGAAACTTGTGACATTTCATATAATTTTATAACAATATATGAATACAGCATAATCATATTAAATGACAATAGATTGTGAGTGTTCAGTTTCAAAAATATACTAGTTAATTAAATCTACAGTCAAACCACATAGGACCTTGGTTTCCGGATAAAAACCTTTTTCAGAGGTTTTTAGAACTCAAATTAAATTGAATGTAACAATTTTTTTTTAACTTATATGTCTCTTTTTCTTAAACCATCATTTTTCCTGATGTTTCTAAAAAAAACACCACTTTCTCAAATCTGGTCTTGAAACAAAGGTTTGACTGTAAACTTAACAATAGTTTATAACCCTGAGTGAATTTGCAAATTCTACATAGGCTGACTTTCATTTATTTTCAGATCGACCTTAGAGACATTGCCGAGGCATACCTGAAGAAGTACCACAAGGGTTTGTCCCGAGCTATACAAGATGACACCAGCGGTGATTATCGTAAACTTCTTGTTAGACTGACCAATATTAATGTGATACAACAACCCCCTGTGGAACAATTCTTAAAAAGTTTACCTACAGATTTACAACCTCCTGTGACACAAGATACCATAAATGATTCAACAGATGTCCAAGACACTAAAAAATGAATGTCAAAGGGTTGTGCATGTGAACTGTTTTACCAAGTTGAAATTATTATACATTGAATATCGTGTAAACAGACAATTTATGTATACATGTACTTCATTTTCTTCCATACACTGTAGATAGTATAGTACATTATATATTGCATAAATATCTTGTGACTGGAAATATATTTTACATGTATTTTTATGTAGTATTTTTGTATTAAAGATTAAATATCATATATCATTTGTATATTCTTTCAGCACTTATTACGTTGAATTTACAAGAACATATCTAAATTATGTTTGGTTTTACGGCGCATCAACACAAATTAGAAAAGACAATTTTGGCTAACCCTATGTGCTACAAAATAAGACAGGTTACAGTAATAGGGGTCTTTCCATACTCTGCCAAAATGAGCTAACCAGGCAGTGCTAAATTGGAACCTTATGTAGGCAACAATATTTATATCTGTCTCAACTTGTAAATCACTTCACTTGACTCAAGTCAAGCGTTACAAAATGTTAATTTACTCTTATCTCGAACAAACTGCAAAATTTTACTTGTATTGTTTTTTTCAATAACCATTGTAAATATGATTATGGTTAGCCCTGTTCCTATGAATCACAAACTACTGGGAGAAAAGTTTGCCAATCTTGAACTATTTTTAGTGTACAGTTCATATGACTAACAAGGGACTTACTACTTTATAAGCTAATACCAACAAATGGCCATAGTGACATGACTAGAATAGATCTTTGAAGAATATAAAACAATAACAGGTGGAGTTTGATTTAAAAAATAAACACAATTTTTCTAATATTATCTAAAAGCAATCAGTACAGCAACTCAAAGACAAATGAGTATGCCATTAAACTTCAACAATAATTAATCAATAATAAAATCAATGTTTAAATACAGTGTCTTTTATACAGAGTATTTATTTATAATAAAAATCCCTTTCAATCCCAAACTCTTTAAAATACATCTTAACAAAACATACTTAAACTATTATTTTTTCGAAAAAAAAAAAAAAAAAAAAAAAGAGAAGAAAATTCTCTTAACATTGCACCTCTCCACACCAGAATAATGATGATACTCACAGGCGGTCCCCCACCGCAGCATTGATACAACTAATTAAAACTGGGCATTTTAGCCCTACCAACAGGTGAAGATATAAGCCAAATTCATAATAAGTCATGTTTTTCCCAATTTTGGAAAAAAACTTCTTGTAAATATGAAAACTGAATGATGATTTCTATTTAAAAAAAATTATTATAACTTGTATGAACACTGTAATAAAGCATCCTTTAACCTAGCTTGACTTACATATAACAAAGGTAGAAAACATGTATAAATCATAAATTCATTTTATTTATAGAGCAACTTCAGCATTAGCCTGTGCAATGAACCATGTCACTCGTAAATCATATTTACTTACTTATCTTGCAATTAATGAACTTTCAGTGTAGAACAGGAACCGGAAAATAAATCATCTTAAACTCAATCTCATTAAAATTATATCCTAACTGTCCCTCCACTACCCATCTCTAGGTTGCGAAGAGTAACGGAGCGAAAACATTTATCTGATTTTAATGAGATTGTCCTTAACTACACCTGTGTTTATGGTCATATTTTTACATTTTATTCTTATTCTAGCAATAAATTTGTCAGATATGCTCTAATGGCTATAAACATCTTAACAGATGTTACCTTTGTGATAAAAATCATCTAACTTACATATTTATTATGATTTTTTTTTACCCCATTTATAAACATTAAATTTGACCTTTTGAGAATATCTAGCATTGAACAAAATTTTAACCATTCACTCTTTGGCAATTCTGAACGCTGTTGGAAAAGTCACGCAAAATGAGACTCTGCATGGAAAGTTCCTAAAAATATTATCTGAGTTGTTTCTAATTATTATTAACAACATGAGCTGCCATTTTTAAATGGCACGCTAGATTCATATTTAAAAAACACTTTGAATAATGAAGGATTATTAAACATTCACAAAGGGGAATAGTTCATTGAATACCTATGACAGAATGACAGAGTAATAGATCCTGTTTTGACACCTTCATGAACGACTCAATTGCACCAAGGGATATCATTCATTACATATCTATGACAGATTAATTGATCCTGATTAGGAACCTTAAATTAGGTTGACATGTTTCAAACTTCAAATGAAAACCTCCCAGTTACTCCCCCCGCCCCCCCCCCCAAGTCCCCCAAAAAAAACAACACCCAGAAATTTTCTATGTTAAAAAAAGTATGAAACCTTGAATGCACCAGATTATTGCCTTATAGTTTGTGTTCACAACATACATGTATTTGACTTTCTTTAATCTTAATATGGGTGCATTAGATCACATACAAAACGTGTCATATCTTTATATCAGAAAATCTTCATTAATTTCATAACCAAATAAAAATATTATAAAACTATTTCTTTTCCTCAGAAAAATGTTTTTTGAAAAGTTCCATTGCTCTCCCTCTATGAGATATCTTATTTTTTTCTACTTTAGGCATTTCAGCATATGTTTGGTCATATCCCTCTGGTTGAAAACATGGATCCCAACCAAAGTCTCTAGGTCCTCTTGGTTCAACTATGGAACCTGGTGTCCGGCCTATAAAAAGTTCAGGTTTTGAGCCTGGTTCCCCTGAGCAATATGCAAAAACACAAACCGCCTCGGCTGTCTTATCCTCAAAACCTGCCAACATCTTGTGTAAGCCTGTCAAAATTATAGTACAATATATACTTTTATTTTGGTTGGGTTTTATGTCGCACCAACACATTATAGGTTATATGGTGACTTTCCATTTTTACTGGTGGGAAGATCTAAGGTACCTCTGTATTCAATATTTCAGGCACAAACGGGCACCCGAGTAGAACTGACCAACATTCCATAAGCTAGCTGGCTAGCTTTTTCACAAGAAAGAAGACGCTGGCGCAGATTGAACCTACAGACGTGAGAGGCAAGTGATTTGAAGTCAAAGACTTTAACCACTCAGCCATGTATGCTCTCTACACGATATTCTTATATACATGTACTTAATATGATAATTATATAACATCGTATAAACAAGTTTAAACAAGCCATTAAATAACATCGATGTCAAATACCTGATTTCAATATTTCTCTGCTTTAATGTTTATATTTCAACACAATTTAAGCATGCCACAAATTTTGACCAGCTAACCTCTTAAATGTACTCTCAAATTTAAATATTTTTGTTCATTGAGCTAAATGACCTAAATGTTTGACCTACTGACCTAATTATACATACAATATTATAATTAATCATATTTTGTTCAAGAGCTTAATGATTTTATTAGTTTTTTTATTACCTTCAGGACCAATTTTGGACAAAAACCATTTGATATATGGTCCAGGTAATCCACCTAATGCATTGAAACAAAGGCTAGTATCTTCAACCAGGCATGGCCCCTTTATATGCTGTACAGCAAGCTTACTCTTCTCTGTGGCCACCTCTTCCGGTGTCCCCTGATACTCTGGTAAATCTATATCCTGGCTTGTTATCTAGAAACAATATTACATTTTATATTCCTGAACATGCTAAATTTCCATGATGGGGAGTTCTGCTTTGAGATTGGATCAGTCCATTGGTAGAAAATTTGTTACCAAAACTAAAAGCTGCCAATGGTATAGAATCTTAACCCTGAAACTCCTGACAAGAACATAGCATGAAGGATAAGCACACTTCTGTTAAAAAATCTAATTCAAAAAGGGGCACAGCTTTGAGAATTATGCCCCTTCCCTAACAATTACACCTTGTTATGATAAGCAAGTATTCTAAGTTTCATTGTTTCTTTTGAACTTGATAAATGGGCTAATTAAAGATTTAATTGGCATACCAATGCCAACAAAATGGCAACATAATTGTACAACATAAAGTTTACATAATAACAAATATGTACTTACTTCATGTGGAAAATCAGATCCAAGTATCTGTTTAAATTCCTTTAGTTTGTTTGCGTTACCAGTGACAATTACAATGGGCTTCATCTTTTGCACAGTGGACGATACAAATCTCTGAAACAATTAAAAATGGTCCATTCTTCCTATTGTAACTATAACAATGTCATCAACAATTCACTGTGTGTTTGTATATTAAGTTTGTAAACTTTTAGTAAATTTTCATTTCTCCAATCATGTAATATTGACAAATAACAATTTTAAACACAATGTTTACACTATTGGTCAAACAGAATTTTCCTTTAAAGCAGTATGGCTCCAGTTCGGTGTTATTTCTAATGAGTATTCATTGAAAATGTTGTTAAGTATACAAATAAAGAGATTTTACCTCTGAGCCTAAGGAAAATTAATACCCACAAAAAGAAAACTTGACAAAATATATAGAAAGAGAAAGAGGGGAACCAGATGCCAAATGGCAACATGTCAAGCCCGTTTACTGAGAACAGGCAAGCTGTAACATCTGGCTATGAGGTATTACCTTGAGCTATGACCTAGTCAATTGGTACTTATGTGCAACACACCATCTCATGATGTTAAACATTTGTGCCGGGTAATTCAGGGATTTTTTTTGGCTTATTTTATAGCCGTTATTGGGTCATATTCCCAATTGAAAATAGTATATTATTTTCCCAATCCACAGGAAAAAATTCCCAATTGAAAATTACAAAATAAAAATATTGAATAAAAATTCTAAAATCTATGCAAAGGGCTACTTCACTGTAATAGTGCTTAATTGTTTGAAGATGTCATCCTAGACAGTAATAATTTGCATTCATATAATCACTGCAAAATTTCAGTCATGCATTTTTTCCGCAATTTTTAACAAAACACTTCTGAAATTCCCAATTCCATGGGTATGGGTCATGTTCCCAAAATCCTGGAAAAAATCCCTGTAATTTGAAATTCAACCAGCTAGTGATAGTTACACCTATGCTGCGGACAAGTAGTTTGTGAATTTGAGACCTTTATTTTTGCATTTGACCTTAAAGACCTTGACCTTTGGCCTAGCCACAAAATTCTTGCACACAACACACCATTTCATGATTTTGAAAAATTGTGCAATGTTATTTCAAATTCCACCAGCTAGTGATATAGTTCATGTGCAGACAAGTTGTTTGAGACAATTTTTTTGTGTATGACCTTAACCTTTGGCCTAGCCACACAGTTCTTGCCCATGACACGCCATCATGATATTGAACATTTGTGCCAAGTTATTTGAAATTCCATCAGCTAAGAATACTGTTATGATGCAGACAAGCTGTTTGAGACCATTTATTTCACATTGGCCCTTAAAGTATGACCTTGACCTTTGACTTAGCCACATGGTTCTAGCTCATGATGTTGAACATTTGTTATTTGAAATTCCCCAGCTACATGTAGTTATAGAGAAATGGTGAGGACAAGCCATTTGAGACTATTTTTTTGGCATTTGACCTTAAAGTATGACCTTGACCTTTGACCTAGCATCATGGTTCTTATGTTACACACAAACTCATTATTGTGAACATTTGAGCTAAGTTATTTGAAATTATGCCTACTAATGGAGTTATGACCCGGACAAGCATAATCTGGACGGATGTTGTGATGCAAATACATACACCAAACCGTCATTGTGACAACTATGTCAAGCTATCAACAAGTGGGCTCAACAAAAATGGGGGAAATTCAGAACAAGATTAAATAGTCCATTTTAAGTCAATTTGTGATATAATAGTAATAACAATACCATTATTTTTTTCATACTACAATATCTTTTTCTATCGCACTTACATGTAAGTTACTGTTAATCTGTGCACATGCTGTTTTAAAAAAATAAGAAACTTTGACAGGAGCAATAGCAAAACTTTGACAGGAGCAATAGCGACCAGAGAAATTTTCTAATTTGTGTAGATTAGCTACGGATGAATATAGTCCAAATATTTAGACATAAACTGCAGATTTAATTTTTTACATTGGTCAAATCCACTTTGCTTTGAATACACGCTTTGATAAACTGTAAAAAAAAATGCAGTCTTTCAATAAAGGACTTTATATATGAACACGGTTATATGAAGCATTGTGAAAAATAGAAGGCAACTGAACAGCTGAACGGAATTTGATAATTATCTATATAGAAAGATCATATATGTAGATCTTGTATTGATTTTTGTTATACTATGAAAATTAACACACTGAATTTATTAAAACATAAAAAAAAACTCAGCGTTTTCATTGGATGAGACATAAAGCTGGACACTAACCTGATTTAAATCTAAAAAAATAAATAGATTTAAATATCTCTATTATCAGATTATGCATCACAATCTGGTCCGAAAAGTCCGTGGTACGAAATCTTCATAAATCGATTGCACAAGCCACAGACGCTTGGGGGTCAGATCCTGCCCCCCCAACGTGATACGCCCCTGTAAACACTCTACCAAAACTATTTTAATATTTAAACACGAATTGTACATCTGTTACAAAGATAAAAATGGTTTTCAAACAATTTTTACGTATATATGAAAAAATACCGTATACCATCAAGTCTCAATAAAGTAAAGATTGCAGACTCCAAAATGTAAACACGATCACCCTTGTATAATAAAACCTTTATAAATCATTATTAAATGAACATTACCATGACTTTTCCGGTGTAAATCAATAGAAAATAGAATTATCTCCTAGATGCAATCATAATAAACATTTATACATCTCATTGTAATATGAAAATCAACATTTAATTAAAACCGAAAGTAAATTTTGCGTTCTGTCCAACCAATACGAGACCTGCATGAGCCCGGCTCTGCGTGGAGCGCTTGTCAAGCCGGTTTCCAAATGGTGTACATGCTTTCGACTAGATATCTACTCGAGCATTATATCCTCATGTCCAAATTCAAATATTTAAATTGTGCATTATTTAGAATTAAAATAAAACCTGGGAAACAACACACTGTGCATCTTGGTAATAGTTTTATTACAAATAAATGTCTTTTAAACGAGCGTTTGCAGACAGCTAATACGCGGGACATGAGGATATAATGCTCGAGTAGATATCTAGTCGAAAGCATGTACACCGTTTGGATACCGGCTTGACAAGCGCTCCACGCAGAGCCGGGCTCAGGTCTCCTATTGGTTGGACAGAACGCAAAATTTACTTTCGGTTTTAATTAAATGTTGATTTTCATATTACAATGAGATGTATAAATGTTTATTATGATTGCATCTAGGAGATAATTCTATTTTCTATTGATTTACACCGGAAAAGTCACGGTAATGTTCATTTAATAATAATTTATAAAGGTTTTATTATACAAGGGTGATCGTGTTTACATTTTGGAGTCTGCAATCTTTACTTTATTGAGACTTGATGGTATACGGTATTTTTTCATATACGTAAAAATTGTTTGAAAACCATTTTTATCGTTGTAACAGATGTTCAATTCGTGTTTAAATATTAAAATAGTTTTGATAGACTGTTTACAGGGGGCGTATCACGTCGAGGGGCAGGATCTGACCCCCAAGCGTCTGTGGCACAAGCGTGTCGGTCAAGACACTGCATCTAGAGAATGTACACACTGTGTGAGATACACCTTTGACACAATTTTAGTAACAAATCTGCGAAACATTACCTTGTACATACGTTACTGTGTTGAGTACGTTAGTGGCTTGTTTATGTTGCGGCTCACTGGTTTCCAAAATAGGGAAAATGGCGCGTAATGGTTGAACACCACTAATAATTTTCTTCCTTTGTACGGTATGCCTAAAATACAAAAGTGACCTTTTTGACGAAAGTAAGCGAAAGTGACTTTAAAAAAATGAATGATAGCGTTTTCACAGGTGGCAGTATCAGTGTTTGGACACCCCACCCCTATCTGCCCCTGGACCCCTACTACAACCCTGAAAAAAAAATAATTCAACACTCAAAGGCTTTACTATAAGGTACCAAATACAAAACCACCGATGAAATTATATTAAAAAAATAATTTTCCACTATCAAAATTATAGTTATAGTTATAGTTTCTGACCTTAAAATGTCAGCAATAGAGTTAGGCAAATGAGACTTCGCTACATGCACTCAAGTGTATTATAACAAGTTCTCCTTATTTGAATGATTTGTTTAAGTACCTTAAGTGTAGAGAAACTGCATGTAATTTGAAATCTATCGATTTTAATTTTTTCCCGGCAAATTACTCTTTAATATTGCAAAAACATTAAAAAAATAAAATCTACAATTCATAGACTGGAGTTTTTGCCAAACATTGTTTAGTCATTCCAAAAAATGAAATCAGATATCCAATGATTTAAAACGAACGCTAAAATGTTCTTACAAAATGAAAGTGATAAAATTACATGATAACTGCAAACTCAGTACAATTGAGTGTTATTGGCGTCCGCGCCGAAGCGAGACGCCCTTATGGAATGAGAAAGGGCGACAGCAACTTCTCGAGCCTTTTCGTCGGTGATAATAGCCGATCATTCCGATTGGTATGAGGGTTTATGATTATCAAAAATGAAATGTCGCGAACAATGAATAGCAACTGGAGAATTTCGCAATGCAAACATATTCAAATGAAATAATCTTTTCCTTCAATCAATCGCGCTCTTCGGGGATTTTTTATTAATTATTTTGTAGTACAAAGTGGGTTATTATGGTTTGTTATTATTGTACATGTATCCGTAAGCTGTAGACCGAAAATCTATTTATAGAGGGATGTACTATTCGCTGGTTTCCTATCGGTAATTACCGGTCTATTTTGACCGGGATTTACTAGAGACCGGTGAATAGTACCACACGTTTATTGTCCGGTCTCTCCCGGTTTTGGAGTATATGTTTGACATCGTTACAGATAAAAAAGTTTTTTTCCAAAATGAATAGTTGTCACAAATAATAAAAATAATTAATAAACACAGATCAACTCTCAAAATTGATTTTTATTATACATAAACACACAATTCGAAAAAAAAACCCACCAACAATAATAGCATGTTTCATTTTATTTATATGAGATAAAAACAATAATTATGTACAATAATTGAGTAAAAAGGTACACTTTTTATGGTATTAATATGACACCATCAACTTTAAAACATTTTATTTTATTTGTTATTCGTGTTTAGTAAAGATGCTGTGGAATTATTCTTAGTTACAAATTAAATTTTATGAATTATTCAATTGATTGATTATTTAAAAAATGATAAAGTAAAATACAAGTGTACATGTACATGGTTTAAGAATAAACAATATAATACATTGAAAGATTAACCATAATTTACTGACTTTTTCCAGTTAATTTTTGACTTATAATCGTCGGTCAATATGACAATTGAATTCTTAAAATTTATTTTACAATTTTAATAAAAAAAAGTAGAAAACGTAAAAACTCAGTATTAAAATAGCACATGAAACACAATGAAAGACAAAAAAAAGAAAGAAAAAGAAAACAATATTCATAAAATATGTAAAAAAAATATTGAACTAAATATTACAATTATTGTATAATAAATTAATTATGCTCAACATTGTAATATAACCAGTGTCATATTGTTACTAAGTGTGAACAGATATACCTAAAGAGGGGGTCTCCGCTAATAGCGATAACATAATTTAAGGGACAACACACAAGTGTGGTGTTGATCATGCCTTGCACAAATGGATTAGAAATGATTGTATATATCCGTTGCTATTAATAATTACGATATTACATTTATGACCATAAAAATAACAATTATAATATAATATTATATATGTATTTTATTATTTCAAAAGAGAACTATTGATTTTGACTACTATTTTGTATTGTCCAAAGAAAATACCACATGAACTTGAAATTCTATCAAATCACCAATATTAATGATAATTAATATCCAAAAATATTCCCCTATATAGTATAAATAAACTTATACCATATGGAAAGTATATTTTGAATATAATTGACCTGTATATTTTGGATATTATCGTTAATATTGATGATTAAAATTCAAGTTCCTGTGAAAAAAACAAACAAGTAATATTCTAATATCTAGCATGCCTACCAAAGTTCATAATGAACAATGTCTTTCGTCCGCTCATTCATAAGTTGTTTCATATTTAATTCTACATTAAATATATATTGTTTCATATTTAATTCTACATTAAAATATATATTGCATGCAGTACCTTTAAACTTGATTGTTAGGCTCCGCCTACTTAGTGTACTGACCAATTGACTACATATTGTTAAACAGTCTTAGAAATAAACACATATGGTATCAACATCTCATATTCTCTGCATCCACACCAAACAAACCAAACATAAAACATAAGTGATATACAATTCTGGTAAAAACCAATTAACCATTGAAAAGTTTATAGCGAGCTCGACGAGCTGGCCCGAAGGGCCTGCTCGCAAAGCGAGCTTTACGGTAACCCAGGTACGTATATTGTTAATATACGTACCTGGGTAACCAAAGTACCGAATTGGACACATCGCAACCTTTCGAATTTAAAGATAACGATAAAAACTGATGAATTCTGACTGAAAACGGATGTGTAGACTGGTCACCCGCGCACGTCTATGGGAACCATAATTGGACAGGGAACCAGAATAACGGAAGCTGTGTATAAAATATCGAATGATAAAATGAAAATCGAAGGCGCCATTTTATTTGAAATCTGATAAATAAAAACAATTTTTTTGTCGAATTTTGTTGTGAAAACTATCTAGAATGAAAGAAAATGGTCTAACTAAGAAAATGAATCCGAACACCAATATCTTTTATTCAGTCTTTAACGCTGTACAGACGTTTAAAGTATTGTTATCGTGACGGCACAATGTAGCGCAAACAGCACGTGCAAAACAAACAAATCAAGTACGTTATTTTAATGTCGCAAACGTTTTAAGTTTTACATTTATTTCACTTTAAATAATCTTTATTTCGCTTGAAAAAATATAGAGTGAAATAAAATAAACAAAGTTTTATCAACGTTTTCAAAACTCGTTATTCATTTCACGACAGGGGCGGAGCCATATTTAACACAGTACGTGTGACGTCACACGCACTCGTCACTGCATTTGAAATAAAAATGAGCGATTATTTCATACTATTTCACGTAAAAAGTACATCGAGCTCGCTTTGAGGCTTTGCCTTTTTCATATTAAGAATATCTTGTAATCATATGTCTACTAGTTCATTTCTATCTTGGACGCCCTTTATCGATATCTTCCTTTTGCTCGCATTGAAAAATACGAAAGTGGCTTACAAAATATCAAATATACTGTTTAAATTGAATGTATTACTAAAATTGCAATTAATCTGTAGACGTACAATATCAGAAGTCAATTATATTTATTTTTAAAAATAATCATTATGATGATTTAATCGCCCTTTATTTGCATTACACAAGTTAACAGATCTTCCTTTCCCTCACATTGAAAAATACGAAAGTGACTTCAAAAATGTCAAATATAGCGCTGAAAGACGCATGTTTTCAGAAATGAATAAAATATATTTAAAAAAAAAATCATTATGATGATTTAATATCCATGTATTTTCATAATTGCTGTATACCTGTTCTGATATCTTACTTTTGCCCACATTGAACAATACGAAAGTGACTTAATCGGACGAAAGTCAATGTCAATATTCACGATATTAATGTTTTTTATAATAAAAAAATAAATGAGTCATTTTCATTATTATTCATGTTTTCATGGTGATTGACCTATAACTGATGATGAAAATGACTAGCACAAAATATAAAAAAAAATCCTAACTTATAAAAAGATTGAACTTTACCGATATATATAGTACGATATTTATAGAAAATTCCGTGGATTACTTATTTCCTTTTTTCATAGTGAAATATTATTTTAACAATGATGGGAAATTCCAAATTATTTTTCAAATTAACATGTACATTGCTCATCTACACCTGGATGAGCATAATAACTGCCACTTTAATCCGTGCAAGATATCTATGGTGGTGCAGAAGAAAGGTTAATTCAATTGTCCACTCAATAAACAACCGGGCAAGTGTCATCAGTTACATACCTATGATTGGATTATAATAATACTTTAGTGGGATTAAAGCGTCATGCGGTCACCGTCGTGTGTACTATCAATTAAAGTGGGTGCGAAAATGATATGACAACACGTGTTTGCATGTAAACATATTCATACTTTATTTTGTCTCATTCGTATACATGCATTTTCAAACATATATACAACTATTCACATAAAACCTACATAAGACCATTCCATTTAAGAATTTCAAGAGACATTATAATAATGAGAAACACATTCAAGACCTATTACTGTTAGATTAGAATCAAACAGTATAATTACAATATAATATATAAACAGAATATTAAATGTTAGGTAACACCATCGTTAATCAAAAATTAAAAACTGCCCGAAAAAGACGATGTAAGAAATTGAGAACTGTAAATCGGAGCCCTAACGCATAAATTGTATAATTCATGTTTTTGCCAATTATAGTTTACATAATAAATTTCATTTTTCATCTTAACATATTAAGTTTTATAAAAATGATAGTTACTATAGCTTATAACATACGTCTACAAACTGCAATATTATCATGAAATTCTATTTCAACGCTATATTTGATATTCTGTAAGTCACTTTCGTCAGGCTCACAGTAAGCGAAAGGAAGATCAATGTCTGAGCTTGTGTATAAATATTATGCTAATAAATGAAGATCAAATCATATTGATTAAAGATACTAGTTTTGATAATATACGTCTACAAACTGCATTATTAATATTAAGTGCAATTTAAACGCTATATTTGATATTTTTAAAATCACTTTCGCTTCCTCTCCCTAACATTGAAAATACGAAAGTGAGCGAAAGTAAGATCTCTGAAATTGCTATATAGAAATAATGAAAATGCATGAATATTAAAACCTCATAATGATTTTTAAGTATTTTTTATTCATTTCTGAAACTATGCGTCTACAAACTGTTGTATTAATATAAATTCAAAATAAACGGTATATTGAATGTTTTATAAGTCACTTTCGTATTTTTCAATGTGAGCGAAAGGAAGATCTATGTAGTTGTGTATAGAAATTATGCAAATAAATAGCGATTAAATCATCATATATAATGATTATTTTTGAAAATGAATATTATCAATTTCTGATAGTATACGTCTACTTAGAGAAATTTTAGTAAAAAATCAACTTAACCAGTATATTTAATATTTTATATGTCACTTTAGTATTTTTCAATGTGAGCGAAAGGAAGATTTCTGAACTTGTGTATAGAAATTATGCAAATAAATGGCGATTAAATCATCATAATGATAATTTTTAAAAATAGATATTATCGATCAAATTCCAAAACTATACGTCTACAATCTTTTATAATTATATAGATTCAAATTAATCGCTATATTTGATATTTTGAAGTCACTTTCGTATTTTTTCAATCTGAGCGAAGGAAGATATCTGAACTTGTGTCTAAAAATAATGCAAATAAATAGCGATTAAATCATCATAATGATTATTTTAAAAAATAGGTATCATCAAGTTCTGATAATATACATCTACAAATTGTAATTTTAGTAAAAATTTCAATTAAAACAGAATATTTAATATTTTATAAGTCACTTTCGTATTTTTCAATGTGAGCGAAAGGAAGATATAAGAACTTGTGTATAGAAATTATGCAAATTAGTAGCGATTAAATCATCATTATGATTATTTCTGTTAATAAATATAATTATTTTCTAATAATATACGTCTACAAACTGCAAGTTTGTTTTAAAAGTCTATTAAAATGTTATAATTACTATTTTAAAAGTCACTTTCGCTCACTTTCGTCAAAAATCTCACTTTCGTATTTTAGGCATACCAAAAAAATTAGTGGTGTACAATTTAAATATTTATACCAGTAGTTTCGTATATAAATTACAATTAATAACATAAATGGATCATTGCTTTATCATTATTTTTATAAAGAATAATAATTTATTGAAAGTTAAAATGTTAATTTAAATCGGTATATATCTATATTTAATGTTTTCAATTTGATTTAAATACGAACATGTGGTTTGAAAGCTAGGAAAGTCGGTCCAGGTTGACAAAGATGTTCTACAAATTCATTTAGTATTTTGGCGCATAAAATAGACCATACAAAATGTCAAGACACAGAAATGTTCGTTCTATGAACTATGAAGATGGTAAATATTGCTGTGTCAATTGCACTTCTTGGAGTGAGAGTAGTGGAAATAAACAGAATGTTGTGATAGTCAACTGCAATCTGGCAATTTGACAAGTTATTTTCCTTATTTTTTTTATATTTTATATGCTATTGTATAATCATGATAATGGGGCCTCATTACAATCCTTCACAGTTCCAAAATTTCATCTTCACGACTGAAAAGGATTGAGCTAGAACTCTGAAATTTTAAGATGCCTCTTTGCGCTTTGTCACAAATAAAAACATTTAAAAAACAGGCACTTTTATTCTGTACTGGCATGCGAGCAGTTCCCGTACAGAAGCAGTACCTGTATTTTTCATTTAAACGCTTGATTTTTACTTGCATTCTTCAAAAATTCATTTCAAATCAAGCAGATACATAAACGAGACAAAATCTAAGTGTCAGTTCGGCAGTACGTATATAAAGTCTCATTTTAAATCACTTTCACCTGTGTGTCGTCAAAACGTGACCTTGTTTTCTCTGGGGGATTCCGTCCTTGCGCGCATGCGCAAAAATACTTACACGTGAGGCTTGTTAAAGGGTTTTCCACTAATACCACCTGTTTACAAATAAGTAGGCAATGTGATGTAAACTTTTTTTTTTTTTTTTTTTTTTTTGAGGCCCCAACTGGGTAACCCCGTTTATTTACCCCGTAATAGGTATGAGAGGGTCGGGGTCATCCCTCTGATACCTTACATGATATCTACATAATATTTAAATTATCATCTATAATAATATTTTTTATATAATTATAATATACATTATATTCAAACATTCAATCAATTTTCATATAATATGTATAACAATTATGTATGATAATGTATTATGCAACAGCTTCAAAACAAACAAAGAATATTGGTTTGGGGTAAATTGATTTAGTGTAGCCTATTAGTTTATTAAAGTTCTTACAATTTGCCATCCTTCCTTTACATGTTTGGTCAAATTTGTATTTTTGTAAATATTCCACGCCAATTTAAGACTATTTTTAAAACCAGGTATTGTAGGTAACACGATTTTTCTCTTTGACAAATAAATATATCTTTTCAATTCTAAAAACAAAATATCATATTTAAAATCATTAACTTCAGAACCTAAAATAAATGATTTACAATTAAAATTATCATCCAAATTATCTATCTTGTCTTTCAGATATTGAAATAACAATTGAATTTTTGGACATTCCAAAAATAAATGCAACAGAGTTTCCTCTTGGCAATTGCAAAAAGTACACATTTTACTATTGACAATTTTCATTTTGAATAAAAGTGAGTTTGTTGCTAAAGTTCTATGAATTATTCTTGTCTGAAACCACTGAATATAGGAATCTTTGGTACATTTAAATACATAACTATATATTAAATTCCAATTTATATCAAAATTTGTAAAAAATGAGTTCCATTTTTCTTGACATGTTGGTACATCTTGATTTCTAACTAGAATTTCATAAACATACTTTTTGTTATTTTGTGTAATTAAAATAGGTTTTATATAACAACTCATAATAGGGTATTGAACATTAATAAAATCTTTACAAATAGAAATGTTAAGCTTTTATGTATATAATAATATTGCTTTTTTCAAACTATGATATTGTAAAAAATTTACTTGTTTTTGTGTCACCTGCTCTAAGTAAGTTAAATCTACAAAATCGCCTTGGGGATTAATAATATCATTAACAAATCTGGTTCCTTTTTGTGATGTAAACTTGTTTAATTATCAGAATGTTGACCAATATTACTATATATAATAATTTTATGGCTTTGATGCCTAAAATATCATGCATACAAGCATGCTATTGCATGTGAATGCGTTGGGGTAACGGTACCGGGTAATTGATACCCGCGTTTAGTCTAAGCTCTATTTCCTGAATTACATCTATTTATCTCTTAGATAATGGTCTGTTTAACAATTGTAAATGAAAAATAGGTCCGATATAATAAAATTGTATAATTATAATGGGTTAGATTTTATGTACGGGAACTACTTCTCTTCATACAAAATAATGGATAATTTCGGTACCACATATGAGGCCTCATAAGTAAGGGTTATACTATGTTTAGAACATTATGGAATTTCCATAATTTGTCTGACGAGCTGAATATTGATGTGTAACATTCAAATTTTGGTGAGTGAGCGTAATAAAAAATAATGTTTAAGTAACTGTGATTTTTGTACGGGAACTGCTCGCATGCCAGTATGCCTAAACACCAAATATGAATTCATATTCGCGAATGTGAACGGGAGTACCAGATATGAATATTATTTTCTTAAAATCAGCTCTTGGGTTTACTTACGTCAACAGAGACTATTTATTACTTGTATCGTATGTATTTTAATGAAAGAAAATAAATTCTGATCTTTTGGTTGTAAATTACTTACTGTGACCAAAAAGTTACCCGAATATGAATGAGAATGACGAACATGAACCTTACTATTTAAACAGTATATAAAATAGCTCACAAAAGTATAGAAATAGATATTTCAAACTATAATTTGAAAGCAAGCATTGTTTTAACATAGATGACAGTTTAAATTTGCTTAGTAATTTAGTTACTGTGACTCGCTATATTCGTGACAGAATAAGAACGAGGATACTGAATATGAATATTAAATAGATATAAATGAACTTTGTCTGAAATAGTTTCGTAAACAAAGACTAATATTATATACTTGCATCATGTCATTGAATGAAATTTAATGAATTTAATGCATTGGTTGCAAATTATTGTGACCAGAAAGATACCAGAATGACAAGAATATAAAATATGAACATTAATTTGATACTGTATACATGCATATAAAAAACAACGCTTATAAAATATACTAATTATGCTTTAATTTTTCAAGTAACAAATTTTCACTATGGTATAATATTTGACCCTATGCCAAAATTTTATGAAAGTAATATTCATATTCGATATTCTCTTCATATTCGCGAATATTAATTCATATTCGGTATTTAGTCATACCCCTTTTACTTAACATATTTTTTATAAAAAGTATAAGTAAATGTTTTGTTGAGAAAGCATTTATTTATTTAGTATTCACTAATAATTGGGTTATAGAGGATATATGTTTTTGTCTTTGGATACAGTGTTGCATCTAGGCTGCGCGATTGCGCCATTTGAGTATTTTTTATGCAGATCGCGCATTTTAATTAAGTCAGTGCGCGCTAAGTCGCACATCTGACGATCTTTTCAACTAAATTCAGTTTATCTTCATCGTATCATAAACGCTTCAGCCATGTTTGTTTTCACTCATGGTTATGACTAAATCGCGTGTAGCAGCCGACTGAGTCATCTCACGTGTGTTTTGTAGTATTCGTCAATATTTTATTTTTTCTACTTCCGTTTTTGAGCGGACCATAACTGTCAAAAATGCCTGAACGTAAAATAAATGAATTCTTTTTCAGTATGTCATATTGTAAGGTAAATGTATGTCCCCCACATTTTTTTCAAATCCCCCACATTTTTCAATTGAGTGGGGGACAATCCCCCATAATTTTGAAATTCTAGATGCAACACTGTTGGATAGGCATTAACAATTCAATCAATTTGCTTGTTTCGGAACTTTTTACAGTGTCTTATGATTATTCTATTGTAGAGTATTATGACGAGGATGACATGTATGGTCACTCTGTAGAAGATAACTACTGCATCTCACCAGGAACGGGTAAGCCTTCTATTAGATGCCCCTGGATCAATAGACTTTATATATAGTAGAGAGGAATAAAGCAATGCCTTACCATAAATATTTAACATATGCCTAAACTTTATATAAGTCCTCTTTAAGATACATCCTTTTATCATCCTATACTATTTCTATATGCCCGAAAGAATTTCGGGCATATTATGTTATACCCCCTGGCGTCCGTCCGTCCGTCTGTCCGTCCGTCCGTTAGCAATTTGGTTTCCGGAGCATAACTTAAGTTCCATTCGGCCCATAACATTCAAACTTCATAGGATGATTGCCCATATTGGGTAGAAGACCCCTATTGATTTTGGGGTCACAAGGTCAAAGGTCAAGGTCACTATCACCTTAAAACTAAAAACAGTTTCCGGAGCATAACTTAAGTTCCATTTGGCCCACAGTGTTCAAACTTCATAGGATGATTGTCCATAGTGGGTAGAAGACCTCTATTGATTTTGGGGTCAAAAGGTCAAAGGTCAAGGTCACTTTTACCTTTAAACTGAAAACAGTTTCTGGAGCATAACTTCAGTTCCATGTGGCCCACAGTGTTCAAACTTCATAGGATGAATGTCCATATTGGGTCGGAGACCCCTATTGATTTTGGGGTCACAAGGTCAAAGGTCAAGGTCTCTATTACCTTAATACTGAAAACAGTTTCCGGAGCATAACTTAAGTTCCATTTGGCCCACAATATTCAAACTTCATAGGATGATTGTCCATATTGGGTAGGAGACCCCTATAGATTTTGTGGTCACACGGTCAAAGGTCAAGGTCACTATTACTTTAAAACTGAAAACAGTTTCTGGAGCATAACTAAAAACTGAAAACAGTTTCTGGAGCATAACTTAAGGTCTATTTGGCCCACAATATTCAAACTTCATAGGATGATTGTCCATATTGGGTAGAATACCCCTATTGATTTTTTGGTCACAAGGTCAAAGGTCAAGGTCACTATTACTTTAGAACTAAAAACTGAAAACAGTTTCTGGAGCATAACTTAAGGTCTATTTGGCCCACAATATTCAAACTTCATAGGATGATTGTCCATATTGGGTAGAATACCCCTATTGATTTTTGGGTCACAAGGTCAAAGGTCAAGGTCACTATTACTTTAAAACTGAAAACAGTTTCTGGAGCATAACTTAATCTATTTGGCCCACAATATTCAAACTTTATAGGAGGATTGCTATTGGAAGGAGTTAATACTTTATTTAATTTATGGAATGTCTTACAAATGCTTCATCCTTTATATAAAAAAAACCACTTTCGGGCATATAATGCTCCGCCTAGCGGTGCTCTTGTTATACTAGTAATTTAACTATTTTATTTATTTCTATTCTGTTGCGTAGCTGCACAGTTTACATTCAACCGAGAACGAAATGTTGCTCTGTCAAACTACATGGATGAGCAAGGTGGGATCCCGGAGGAAGACGAGGGTGACGATACAGACGAGGGAACACCCCGCACCCAGCATCGAAGTTCCCTTGATTATACTCGACCAAAGCTCACTGATGTTGATGAAGGTATTTCATCACTAGCGATGAAACACTATCTAACATGACTGTTTCTATATTTTTATAGATCCCAAAATTTTCAGCGGATTTTGAACTGTAACATGTTTAAAGGTACCTCATTGAAAATTTAAGAGGACCACATTGTAATTTATTCTAGTAAAACATTTTGATATACAAATATTGAAACAAATTTATTTAAAGGGAAAGGAAAATTCATTTCTTAACCTTACATTTTCTTGTATAGTGAGTAACTCTTAAAATATAATGAACACAAAATGTTTTAAAGTATAAAATATTTTAGTCCATTACATGGTGTTTAGCTCAACATTTCGAAGATCAGGGAGAGTAATTGTACTCGCCCAGACATCAGCTTCACACTTTGGTAATGTTTTTGTGTGCAAGTTTAGTATCTTAAATACTTCTGGAGGGAATGGGTTTAAACTTCACACACTTATGGGAGAGCATAATTAAAAGTCTCAGTCCAAGGCCCATAACTCTAACATGCCTTTTGACAATTTAGGCCCTTGTTGAACAAAAAAAATCTACATTATCCAGGTATTACTATCAAGCAGGTGGGAAAAGTCACTCAAGCATGCTGTCTTACTGACAGCTCTTGTTTAACCTTACACTTTGTAAATATAGTATATAATTCTTAAATGAAGGCAAAATGCTTAAAAGTATTAAATATTTTACTCTCTTTTAGGGCATTTATATTTTACTTTATATGTTGCTCTTTTATGGTAAAATAAATTCTTTGTTTTGTGCATTTTTCAGCAAAGTTAAATTCTGTGCTGGAGGAAGTTAGAAATGTCATAGGAGAAGCTGTCCCAGAGGGTGTCATGGTGGACACAATTATGAAGCATAACTTTAGTGTCGAAGGATCCCTTAATGAGCTCCTTAATCAGCAAGGTAATTTTACATGTATAAAATAAGGTGAGAAAGTGAATTTTAGAGAGTTGCTTTCAGCACATTTGTTTTGTGAAAAATTGATTTCTTATATGGTGAATTATGTAAATCATATAATAATAAGAGAATTTCATATTAAAATTCTTCAGAAATATGTTTGTTCATACAAAATGACTGAAAATTAAATTGACCATTGTCATAAAGTATGTAAGCAGTGATACGACTATCCACGATTGAGATTACCCTGCAATTAAGACCAGTCGCCACTTTGGTCCAGTCCCAATGGTAGTCATAGTTGAGAGCTTTTACCTCTACTGTTGTCAGACTGATTTGATGGCCATTTTGTTTCTAAGGCATTTTTATTTCATATCAATTTTTATCATCATGTGACCTACAGAAATTTCTATAAATATCCTTCAGAATGTATCAGCAGAGTGGGGCAGTCTTTTATATTCTACAACAAAAACGGTCCATATGGCTGTTCATAAAGTCTTTATGACCATAATAGTGTTTCTGTTACTTTGAATCCATTCAGGCATGAAATTTCAGGAATAAGGATTTTAATTGATTAATCCTGTATAGTCTTAGAAGACAAACTTTTACTGTGAGATAATGCTCATAAATTATCTTGTTAGTGCAGTCAAAGGCTAACTACTATTTAATTTAATAGGTGTTAACCAGTTACTGTACTAAGGTGACCATTGTTGTTGTTTTCAGAAGCACCAAAACCGCAGAGAGAACCGAGGAGAGAAAGGAGGAACCGATCACAAGGTAGGAGATCTAACACTTCATTACTTGCTTTTCCAATATGCTTAATGACAGCTACATTATGGTTTAAACTCCATTTAATGTCTTATCTCTTACCACACCAAAATATCTTATCTGGACTTGTTGAAATACCATTCATCAATTTTAGGGAAAATTTCAAAATATGTACTGACTAAATAGTATAGAGTGCAGAATATGATAACACAGCATGGGTGTGCCGGCTGATCTTGGTCTGTATTGGACGCATGGGTAGATTCAGTTTCTGATAGCTGGCTAAAGGTTAATACAAATATCAAGCTGGACTCTTACTTTTGGCTAAATTTTGTTGTTCTGTGAAGTATACAATTAAATTGAAAGCAAAACATGTGTGCTTAATTTCCAACAGGAATTACATTATATTGTTATCTTTTTGAAGTGATTTAGTAGATGTTAATATGAGCAAATTCAATATATTCCAGTGACCATTGCTTAACAGGTGCCTTTTTTCTTTCATATCCTCTCTCTTCACTTTGGTGCATGATGTGCAAATTCCAATCCAATCAACTATGATGCCAATACAACCATTCTCATCATGTGACCTGTGTTCATCATGTGATTTGATCATGTGACCCGTGTACATCATGTGATTTGATCATGTGACTTGTGGTAAATCTATGGCTCATGTAAGGTAAGAACTTGATGATGAGACAGAAATTGATTTTTCTAGTAGTTTTCAGGACAATGTTTTCTCTTACATTCCACATAGTTTACAGGGTGTTATGAAGTTTGGGGAAAGTGCTTCTCCCCAATCCCCATCTTTTTTATTGCAGGAAAAAGCTGTTTTAGATAATCGCCTTGTATCTGGAAAAAACAAAGAGCACTGTGCATCCGGTTGTCATTCCATACAATGTTCTAGTAAAATTTCTCATGAAGATGTAAAAAACATTTCACAAGGTACTCTCAAGAATTGTAATGCTCAGGATCAAAAGCGTGAACTAGAATCAAATTCAGGGAATGAAAATATTCAAATTGGCTCTCAGTCACAAGTTCAATCATTAAGTCATACAGATATAAAACATTCATTGTCATCATTGATTAACATGCATGGTATTAGGAACAAAGGAACAGAACAAAATGTTAATAAGGAAGAAAAGATCAAGATGCAGCAAACTTTGTCTGGCCTAGCGAAGAAGCATTGTGGAAGCAACGTTTCCCCTGCAGCTCAACAAAGTCAGCAATCATTGTCTTGTGTTTCAGGCAACCATCTACACAATAATAATTCTTTATCCGAAATGGTAAAATGTAACTCAGATAACTCTTCCTGTTTATTAGGACCAGCTGAATCTCAATCAGGTTCTTCACTATTGTCAGGACTAGCTAAAACTCAATCCAGTTCTTCACCTTTGTCAGGATTAGCTAAAGCCCATACAGATAACACATCACCTTTGTCAGGAATAGCTAAGGCTCATTTAATTAACACTTCTCCTTTGTCAGGACTTGCTAAAGGTCACTTACATGGCACATCACCATTGTCAGGATTAGCTAAAGCTCAGTTAAATAACACTTCACCATTGTCAGGATTAGCTAAAGCTCATTTAGATAACACTTCACCCTTGTCAGGACTAGCGAAAGCCCACTTAGATAGCACATCACCATTGACTGACTTAGCTAAAGCTCAAACCAGTTCTACACCAGGATTAGCTAAAACTTCGCTAGATAACATTTCACCATTGTCTGAATCAGCTAAAACCCAGTTAGGGTCTTCACCATTGTCGGCCTTAGCTAAAGCAGATTTTAAAAGTTCTCCTGTAGGAATGTCATTATCTCAGCTTGCAGAAGCTCATGGTGTAAAGAAGACAACAGTGACAACTGTCAGGGAAAAGAACATCTCTGAGAACAAGGAGAACCATGATGTACTGAAGCCAAACTCGGGATCTATGTTATCTTTCAAAAATAAAGGTGACAAAGATCAGATTATGCTGTCGTTGAGTAGTTTAATAGAGAAACATGGAACTACTGAAACTGCTGGCACAAATGTTAATAGATCCAGAAAAAATGAAGAAGCTGAACTCGGAAGCCAAGCCTCTGCAAGCCCTAAAGGTTTATCCTTGGCAGATCTTGCTAAGAAAAAGAATCCTCAAGTACTGAAGGAAACAAAAGGCATTGCCAAAATAAAAAAAACAAATTTGTTACTTGAAGGTGATGATACTAAAGAATTGTCTGAAGCTAAAAAAGATGTGAAATCAACCAATAGTGCTAAAGTGGAATTTGTAGATGTTGACTTAATAGAGGAGAAGTTTATATGTTTAGATGATCTACAACTAGAGCATTTCAAGAATTACTTGAAAGATCCATCCAGTATTGGAAATGCTCTCTCTTTAAAGGCTGGTGTTAAACCAGAGGGAAAGAGAAGAAGGAAATACAAGCAGAAGAAATTTAGTTACAGGTGTCAAATGAAAGGTTTGAGAGAGGTGCTGCAAGTTGAAATGAGCAAGATAAAACCATTTGACTTCAGTACGCCGTCACCTGATGATATCATTAAACTGAAACAGAAGCAAGCTTTTAATAGGAACGGTAAATGAAAAGAAAGTTAAGGAAGGAGATAACAGTGTGAACAAAGACGTTGATCTCAAGACCATATGCCATAAAGTAGTTGGATAATGTAATATATTTATAACTGAACCAAGGAATTAATTTAATTACATTGACAGTGTTGGATTTTTTTCCTAAATGTTGCCATAATCGGAGACCTTTTTTATGTATTTATTACTGTGCAGTGTTTTCTTTATGTATTGTTTTGACTTCTGAGATAGGTTTTCTGTATTGTTCGTGTGCTTTAATGTCAAGCATGTTGGTTGTCTATTAGTCATAAAAACTCTTCCATCAGCATTTTATTATGAAAGAAAGTGCATCTTGTTAACTTCAATACAGATTGCAATGATACTTTACAGGTATCAGTAAACACCCCAGTTCTAGATAATTAAGCTTTATTGCCAGAGTGGTTACAACCAATTGCCTCTCAGTGCTTTGGATACAAAATTAACAGAGATATATATGTTGTGAATCATTGCATTGTGGTCATTCCCTTTGAGTGAAAATAGTCCCCGTCTTTGATTTCATTTTGCATTTTCTAGCATCCGAATCTTTTACAAAAGTTACATGAACAGAAAAGGTGAAAGCTAAGCTATTTGGTCAAGTCACATTGTCTAGCAGGTGTCATCAAAATTTATATGAAATATGAAAAGTCAGGGACCTGTGGTCAAAAAAAGGTACTGCTCTAATGTTTTTTTCTCTCCATTTACTTAGAAAAGTGATTAAGGTCATTTTAGTCCTTTTGTCACTTTTGACAGTGAAAAGAAATTGCTAAAGAAGTGAAAACATTTGTTGTGAAATAATACTTTCCTGACCAGAATTGTTTTAAAGCTGCCATGTACCTAGAAGTTTTTTTACAACTTGAGGAATACATTCATATGTATAATTTGTTTCATATATAGCGGCCTAATGCTCATGTCATGATGTCAAAAATGTGTATAAATGTTATATTGTTTTGCTTTTTGAAAGTTACTTACGTTTAAGTTTAAATTTTCTCTACGCATATATAGTATGATAAAAGGAAGAATACGCAAGCATGCTATTCAGGTAAATTGTATCGCTTTCGTTGATTGTGTAAAGCTGTATGCAAACTATGTGGAAGATAAGACTGCGAAGAGTTGTATTGTGGAAAATGCTACTTGAAGATAAATTGAGAGATACAATTATTCAGAATAGCACACACACTTGTGCAATATTCTCTGTTATACACAACATGAAAGATATACATTCATATTGGGCACTGATATTGTAGAAATTTCTCTTACCAGGGCCAAAAAACCCTTCTTTGTAGAGCCGAATGTTGGCTGCTTCCCCAACCAAACTAGCCTCTTTTTTTCCCCAGTTTGGTCCTCAAAATTCCCCAGTCTTTTGAAATTTCCCATAGAATTTAGAACAAAATTAAATGATGGTGTTGAATTAAGGTCTTTTACTGCCTTATAAGTATTTCCCAGTGCTTTTTGCTTTTCTATTTTGAAGAACTTGTTTAAAGTTTGTGTTAAATTTCAGACCCCTTTTCCCAAAGTATGCCAAAATCACACATATTTTCCCCAAGAAAAAAAAGGCCAAGGCCCCTTCCCCAAAAATGGTGTTTTGGCCCTGCTTACATATGTATGTATGAATTGACTAGTAGCATTTTAAATTTACTAAAAGTAAAAAATCAAAATCTCTTTGAAATTACTGCTTATATTTATTTTTTATACTCTATGATTATAAACTCATTTGGTAAAATTAGTTTTTTTTACTCTATGCTTAATTAGAATTGGAATTGTTCTAGAACAGTATGAATTTCTTGATTTTGATTCCTTGATCAAACTTTGTATAATAAAATACTCTTTATTCATTGTGCATGTATATCACCATTATGTATGTAATATTTAAATGTGGAATTGTGGATGGATTTTTTTGTAATCAAAATATATTTTTTAAAGAAATTATCATTTTTAATTGATGAAGTTTGGGTTTATTTTGTATTGTTGGGTTTATTTAGTAAGTTAACGATCACAGACAATGAAATGTTCATATTTCAGAATTGTCTTCAAAATTTATTTAGATTTTATTAATCATGTTTTGAAATATAGGTCTCTTTTTTTCTGAAAAATAGTTACTTATTTTCTATGTACTATAATGAATTATGTTTTTATATTGATGAATTGTTGATGTTTTCCAAAAATGAAATATTATTTTTGTATTTTTACAATTTTGTAAATATTGTGGTAATATATCCTTTGTTGTATATGTATATAAATAAATGTAAAAAAAGAAAGAAATTGAAGTCTTCATAAATGATATTTATGTGAAAGTGGAATGTAACTATGAATGATTCTATGTTTACTTGTTGCACCAATTGTCTATGTAAGTCATAATGACCCAAATTTTTCCATCAAAAGTAGCCGCTGCCTCCATGAGGCCAAAACTGAAAACTACTTGATAAGCTTACAAATTAATGACAGTTTCATACACATAACTTTGTTTCTGTTTCTTTAAGAAAATCAAACAATTTTCAGTTATAATTAGTAGCAACTTCACACACTTCTCAAAAAATAGAATAAAAGAAGCAGAATGTTTTATAGACGGTTGAATTTGTTGGACATATCCTCGATATTGCAACTAAAGGTTTCCATGACTGAGAAAATTAAGTCGCTGACTTCAAACCACTTGCCCTTCACCACTATGTGATCAAACCCTGCCAGGGAATTTAGAATCTTTCATTTGTGGAAGCTATCCAGCTAGCTTACAGAAGGTTGATAGTTCTACTCAAGTGCTGGCTTTTGTCTGAAATAATGCACAGAAGGGTAAAAAAAAACCCCTTCTATTGGATTATATATCTATCAGTAGAGTTGAAAGTCACCATATGACAGTGTTAGAATGACTTTTAACCCAACCAAGTTTGAAAAATCTCTTTTGTTTCTAACTACATCATGACCATTATATTTATGGAAATATGCTTAGTTGATCATTTTGATTTGTCTTCCTTTCAAACTGTGGTAAGTATTTTCTTTCTGTAATATTGAATTTATTAAATATCAATATTATTCACTGTAAATTTGTATTTAAAAAACAACCCCAAGTTTTTAATAAAGCAGATGTTATTACATATGAAAAAACAAAACTTTCAGAAAAATAACAGTTTTACATGAATACTTCTTGATTATTTTTAGTGAAATTAAATGTACAAAATTGTGTCCACTAGCAGCTACTTAGTATTTATTTCTCAGAATTATAAGTTTAAAAGGGGAGCATACTTTAATTATGTGGTCTGTTATTAGATCAAAGGTTAAGGTCACAATAACAGTGTGATAAATCTTTGTTGTATCAATAACTTGAATGGAAGAGGCCCATGTTTGTAAAACTTGATAATGGCATTGCCCATTGCCACCAGATGACCCCATTTGATTTTGAGGTCATTAGGTCACAGTAGTGTAGTCCTTGTCTCATGAATAACTTGAAAAGCAATAGGCCAAAGTTTGTGAAACTTTATAAGGGCAGTGCTGATGACCAATGACTGACTTTGAGATCATTAGGTCAAAGGTCAAGCTATTAGTGACTGTAAAATCCTTGTACAATCAAAAACTTGAGAAAAAAGAGGCCTATGCAACTTAGTATACAAAATGCCCATGGTCAGTTGATGACCCCTTTGCATTTTGAGGTCTTTAGGTCAAGGTCACAGTGACAATGTGTCAAATTCTTGTCCAGTCAATAATAACTTAAGAAGTTATAAGCCTATGTTTGTTAAACTTTGTAGGGGCGTTGCCCTTGACCCTTTTAATATTGATATCATTTGTTCAAGGTCACAGCAACACTTTAAATGTGAAATGTACGTCTTATCAATAAATTTTCTTCAGTTACAGGTTTGTGAAACTAGAGTTACAATATTACTTATTGATATGAAATGGAGTAGGGGAATAAGCGACATAAAAAAATACATGTACATTGTAATTTTAGTTGATTACAAATTTGACAGTACAAGTATTAAAAAATTGGTGATACCATTGTGAGATATAGGTCCTTATAAAAAACAACATATGTTTGGTCACTGGTTATCACTTAAGTAGGATTCATGTGTAAGTAAGTACAACGTATAGAATAAACAACAAAAGAAACACATTATTTATATTGTTTATTTCAGGAGGTAATGCAAATACAGAGTCATCAAAAAACCTCCCAACAGCTTTTGTTACTGGCCCTAGTCCTACTGTGATACTTAAAGAACCTCCAAAACAGAGAGTTAATGACACTAACTCTGTCAAAACATCTAATGTAACAACTGCAAATAATGTGAATCAGACAACTAAATTATCTAGTGAACCAGTCCCTCTTAAAACTCAAATTAACAACCAGTCTGTTAATTCTAAAGATAACAGAAATACAACTTCATCTGTGACTTCAGAACCAGTGAAAGGTTCAAAAGTTAGTGATATACCTGACGGTTCTAAAGGAGATTTTAATTCAGAAAAGTCTTCAAAAGATACATTAAATGTAGATAAAGCAACAGAAAGTAAAGATCAGCTCTCCACTCCCAAGAAAGAAAGGTTTATACCTCCTCTACCTAAAAGTTCTTCAAAGTAAGTATTTGTTTTTTATTTACAGATAGAAATGCCTTTTTCCATTTTATAGCAATTCTGTTGCCATCTTAGCTTAATAGAGAGAGCATGGGATTAGAAATCTAGTCGTCACTGGTGCAATCTTCGGGCAAAGCAACATTGCTCTGTGGCAATAAACTCTGGACATTGAATCCAATGGTCATTTGTCTCTCAATGCTCATGAAAGAATAAAAATGGGATAAATGAATGGTCATTTTGCAAAGACATTGGAACTACCGGTTAGTTATCCATGAGGGCAAGTTGTCTGGATTGTCCAAAGAGATATTGACCAAAAATAAGCTTAAGTTGCCACAGACACCAGAAGATGAAATAAAACAAACCATGGCAGCTCCTAATAACTTGTAATATTTTATCTAAAAGGTTTGCATAATATTGCTAATTTTATACATACATTGTACTATCAATAAAAATGGAAGAATGTTTTAAAGAGAAGTTTAATACAGAAAATTAACCCTTGCCATACTAAATGACAAAACTGCCATTTTTTTGGAAAATTTCAAAAATGTGTATTGACTGAATATCCAAAAGTGCAGACCATGATCAGACTTCATGTATGTGTTGCACTCGGATCACAATGGCAACATCAGTTACCTCCAGCAAGCTAAGGCCAGTACGTAGCTGGAAACAATAAATCCACACAAAAAATATGATAATTAATTTGACGAAGCTGTTCCATATTTTCAGGCAAAAAACAGAGAAGTATGATCTGAAAGAGGAATACAAAAAACGTGCTGTAGGAAAGGACATGCTTAATATGGTTGTGATAGGTAAGGAATGATTTTGTTCATGGTATGATATCTTATCTAATGTGAAGTTTCTCGTTGACAATTAATGTTGTACTTTGAGGGTAATCGTCATTTATAATTGTCCCTCATTACTGAATCAGAAATCATGTGGTATTTATTATTCTTTGGTCACTTGCAGAGAAATTGGTTATTACTGGTTTAAAAATTCAGGAAAGCATATAAGGTGGACTGACTGCTGAGATAAGAT